GAGAAAGGGCCCTTCTTGAAATACACGATGAACTTAGATATATCCTCGGAATGCCGCACCTCCACTTGCGCGGACGCCGGGCCGCCATCGACGCAATGGTCGCTCTGAATGACCATCACATTGTACCCCGCGTTCAGGAATAACTCCACGATCGTCCGAGTCACCGCGTCGTCACGTGGAGCGTCAATCGTGCCCAAGCTGCCGTCAATAATCTGTTCCTCAGTCAAATCGTCCCAGCTGAACGATTTCCGCTCCACCCTGTGCGGGGATACCGCGGAATTCGCGCGGGCGAGGGCACGGCGGGTGGCAACGCCGCGGTTTGCGCCGGAGTCGGAGGGGGACGCGTGCAGGCTAGACCGCGCTGCACTGGCGCTGGTGACGGAGAGTAGGAGCAGGAGGGAGAGTGTGAGAGGAGCCAGCTTGCGAGCCGACTGCAGCCATGCGTTGGCCATGGAACAAAATTTCAGAACGTAAGAATTATAACTTAGTAGCCATAGCTTAGGGTTGAGCTAGGCAAGGAGGTAGCGATGTGAACTATTGAGAGATTTGGCCAAAGAGAAGGTGTTTCACTATAGGCTCAAGGGTACAAATATGAAAGAACAAGCATGAGAAGAAAGGTGCACCACCTAACAAGCAAGATAACTACACTAAGTCTACACTTCAGGCAGTTATAGAGTAATGTATACAATTACATTTGGACACACCCCCTAACTGCCTGCAGTGAAGAACCATGTGTAGAAACACCCCCTGAAGGGGTACACCAAGCGCAGCGGAAGAAGGAGAGGGACCATGAGAGGAGAGGAGGTGGTGGGCGACGGCTGAAGCTGCTGGTACACGGGCAACTGGAGCAACGGGCACACTGGCAACTGGAGCAACTGGCACACGGGCAACTGGAGTAACTGGCTCCGCGGCTAGACGAGCGGCTGGAGCAACTGACTCACGGGCGACTAGAGCAACGGGCTCACGGGCAACTGTTGCAACGGGCTCACGGGCGACTGGAGCTGCTGGCTTCACGGCGGCAACCCCCCTTCAGCCCCCCCCCCATCCCCAAACCTCCCCCCACAGCGGCAGAAGTGGCAGGACAGGCAGGACAGGAACGGAAAGGCAGGACAGGCACGGAGCAGGAACGGCAGGAAGGGCAGACAGGGCAGGCACAGCAGGCAGGGGCGGCTTAGGGCAGGGGTGGCTGGAAACTGAGAGGAGAGAGGGGGGGAAGGAGGCGGCTGGTGCTGCAGGTCCCCTCCTGCCACCCCCTTAACATCCAAGTCCCCTCCCACCCCCCCCCCCCCCCCCCCCCCCCCCAACACAACAACAGGTGCGGAAGGGAGAGAGAGGAGGAGGTGGTGGGCGGCCGGCGCTGCAGAACCCCTCTTGTCACCCCCTCACCCTCCATTATCCGCCACCCCCATCACCCTTCACCCCACAAGCGCAGGCAACCCTACCGCCACTCCCCCGACCCCCAACACCCTCCCCCCCTTCCCACCCCCCCCCTTCTGCTGCACGCGCAGCAAGGAAAGGGAGAAGAAGGGGGGCGGGGTAACAGCGCACAGGGCAGCGTGGCAGAGGCGCACGGAGCGCCGGGCAGAGGCGCACGAGGGCTGCAGATTCGTGTGCAGCTGCTCGTGCAGCGAAACCGGGGGGGGGGGGGGGGGGGGGGGGCGACGAAACGGCGCGGGGACAGCGTGGCGCAAGCGACGGTCGAGATGCCGATTTTGCTGGCGATTTAGCCAGCGCATGCGGGGCGCGCCATCGCGACAGTGATTGGTGGGCCCATTGAAAAGAAAGTAGGTCCTAGATCGGGACCTGCTCTGATAGCATGTCAGAACGTAAGAATTATAACTTAGTAGCCATAGCTTAGGGTTGAGCTAGGCAAGGAGGTAGCGATGTGAACCGTCGAGAGAGTTGGCCAAAGAGAAGGTGTTTCACTATAGTCTCAAGGGTACAAATATGAAAGAACAAGCATGAGAAGAAAGGTTCACCACCTAACAAGCAAGATAACTACACTAAGTCTACACTACAGGCAGTTATAGAGTAATGTATACATTTACATTTTGACACAAATCGCTTCGATGGTCAGACGTCTGGTATAAGATTGTCAGACTTAAGATCAACTAATTCAAGCGACGATAAGCTGAGCCTGCACGTTAATGCGAGTGAGAACGCACAGGATGATTAACTCCTGTTAGCCGCGAGGTGCTTGGTGTGCTAGATAGAAGGGTACAAAGGAGGAAGAGGAGATAGAAGCTGTGATGAGTGTGTTGAGCCTGGGTCTCTAATTTATAGCCCTCTGCATAGTTCAGCACTGGAGCAGGACTCTGACATGAAGTCGGCTTGCGACTCGCATGAGCCTCCATGGCCAAAGTCTAGCGTGAGGATTACGCTAGGACATGATTGATACGCGAGCTTGGGGTTCCTAGGGTCCGAGATAGGGATTAGGTAATGGGGCTTCTTAGCGGGAATGCCGACGGGAGTAGCTAACGGGAGCAGCTAACGAGAGTAGCTGATGGGAATGGCTACCGTCATCGCCCGGATATAAGACATGTATTTCTTATCTCGTACACGGGCAAAAATGCTTGGGTTGTCTTGTACTTGGGACAGTTTAGGGTGTCTTATAAGTTGTACTTGTAACCCAACAGCGAATCATGACGCGCCAGTCTGCAGTCGTTTACGCTGCTGCACTTTTCACCTCCTCGTCGACAGCAGCTAAGATGGAGGAGAGGTGCCCAGAGTCTACGTGCATTTCCACCAGCCATGCCACCAGACACACCTGCCATACAGCGGGCAAGAAAGCATAGAGGAGGACGAGTTGTGCAAAATCGTATCTTATACACAACACAAAGGTAGCAAGTCTCCTGTAGTTCCTGTGAGGGTTGCGCAGAATCACAGGGGGGGAAGCAAGCTCCTGAGAATTCACGAGAGAGGGCTCACCTGTAGCTGCTGTGGCGTGGGCGTGCAGGCAAGCCACCCCGACTGCTCCAACTGCTGCTGCACCACCGCCACTGTCATGACCATGCACTGGTGCCCCAAACACTTGTGACCCTGCACGTCCCTCCGTCCATACCTGTCTCTTCCATCCTTTCAGCCCTTCTAACATTGCATTCCCTGCCTGAACACGCCGCTCATCATTCTCTCCACCAATCACAGCCTCTGTATCCCCATTAATAATCCCCATTCCCCCTTCCTGCAAGCACCCATCTGCGTCGCTCTCTGCCGATTCTTCTCTTGCTGCTGATGACTCACTGTCGCCCTCACGTCGATATATAGCTGCATCACTGCCTGCTGCCACTATTCCAGCCACTCCCAACCTGCCTCCACCTATTTCATCCCTTCCACCCGACCTCGCTTCTTGCCCCGTGGCAACGGCGCTTGCATCAAGTGCAACAGCAGCCACACACTCGGTAGCAGCAGCAGCTCCGGGAGCAGGCACAGTAGCAGCTGGCGAGTCGGTGCATAAATGGAGGGATGTTGAGAGGGAGTTTAAGCGGGCTGATGAGTTGAGAGGTGGTGGTTGGAGTAGTGGTGCTTGGAGCGGTGGTGGTAATGGTAGTGGTGCATGCAGTGGTGCCTTCAAGGGTGACTGCTGCGTTGAGTGAAGAGACTATGAGGCGCTGGTCGGGAGGAACGGGGTGCATGAGGACGAAGATTGGGATGGAATGTGAGATGTTGGTGCTGCAGTGATACAGATAGGAAATATACAGAAGTTGCTTGAGATTGGAAGACGGTACAAAAATGAAGAAAGACGTGTTTGGCATAGGTGTGCAGGTCAGGTCGTTAGGACATGCCTTTGGTATTTTTCATAATATAAAATTTCACACGCAAATGTTTGGCTAAGTGTTTCCATCCATCTCACCTTGACCAGCAATTGTTTAGCCACGCGTTTCCATCCATCTCACCTTGACTATCATCTCCCTGTGAAACATGGCTGCCACGTCCACCACCCATCTCTCTGATGCACGCGCGAGCAGGTCGATGTGTGAGGAGAGATGGAAAGGAGAAATGGAGTCAAGAGAAGAAGAGGACAGATAATTATTTTTATTAACATGCAAGGCCTGCATTAAGGAGATAGGATACATCTGACTGGATGCGAGGGGAAATGAGATGTATGAGGGAGGTGAGAACATGCATAGGAGACAAGCTGATGAGAACATACTGCAATAAGCAACGGACCGAAAACTGGGAGATGGAGAGCAGTGAAGATAGGTTCATCAGGGTACATGTCTCTCTCCTGCCATGCCTCCTGACACGCCTCATTTGCATCCCACACTGCCGCTGAAGGGGAGGGTGACACTGAAGCTGCTGATGCTGTTTGGAATCGCGATGGCGATGGTGCTGATGTTGGTGTTGACACTGATGAAACTGGCACTGGCACTGCCAATGATGCTACAAAAGTGAAGGGCGCAATTGTCGGTTCAGGTTCTCCAGAGGTGAGGGCCATTGCTGGATGTGCATGCAGGGGAGGTGGTGTGTGGGGGGGTGGACAGAGGGGCAGAAGGGCAGGGCCGAGGGCGTCGACAGCTGCAGCCTGAAGGAAGGATAAGGGCGAGGTGGACAGGGGGGAGGGGAAAAGAGGAGAGAGAGTAAGGGCCTGGTTGCGGGATGTGTAGCCAGCGGAGCAGAGCAGATGGCGTGCAGGCGTGCAGTGAATGGGTGCGACTTCTGAGAATTCTCAAATGTCGCACCAAGTGTAGCCGACGGGGCAGTGCAGATGGCGTGCAGGGAAGCAGGGAGAAAAGGGATGGTAAGAAATAAGTGAGTGAGTGGGGGGGGGGGGATGGAAAATGGTGGTGAATTGGGAGCAAAAAGCAGTATTGCAAGTTCAAGAGCTCTCGTCTATCCCTCCTCCCCTCCCTCCCCCTCCGTCAACTCATGTGGTCATTCAAGCAGCAGAGCAGCGTGCGTATATCCTCCTCCTGATGGGCCATGTTGGCATTGCATCGCGTGCCATGCCATGCCATGCCATGCCATGCCATGCCATGCCATGCCATGCCATGCGATGCGTGTCATCCAGAGCATAGCATCATGCAGGAGATGGTTGTGGGCGTAGGAGGAGGGCGGGAGAAGGGCGGACGAGGGGCAGGAGAGGTGGAGCAGGGGGAGGAGAATGAGAAGAGGGATGTGTGAGTGAGGAAAGACTGAGGGGCGAGAGGAGAAGATAAAGACGGGAGGTGTGGGGAAGAAAGGAAGGATGGGGAGGAAGTGACGGATGAGAGCGAGGGAAAAAAAGAAGGGAAGGTGTGGGGAAGTCGTTGCTTGTATTGCATCACGATGCTTAACAGAAGAGGTATTCACACTACAACGAGTCACACTAAAAGGAGTCCCTGTAGGTAGCATGAGCACCATGAGGCGTCGGATCTTGTCTGCTGCCCTCGCCACGATGCCCTCCATGCTCCCCAACGGCCCCACGCCCTTGCCGGGTAGCTGCCTGCGCACAGCCAGGAGAGGAGTGGAGAGGGGTGGAGAGGGGTGTAGGGGAATGGATCCCGAGATACAATATGTTCAGCACCTATGTACATCAGCGCCATAACCTATGCTACATACTCCAGCGCTCATTATCTGTACTCGATACCTGGTTATACTCGCTATAAGAACTCTTCGACGCGACGCCTGGACTCACTTCAGCTGCACCAATCAGTTCACGACAGCTGTCGCCGCGCGCAGCCCGTCCGCCGAGGCGGCGTCCCACTGCTTCCGCGCGCCAGACGCGGCGGAGAACGCGGAGCGCACGCGGCGCTGCTGGCGGCGCCGCCAGAGATGGAAGGGGAGCGGCGGAGGGGGTTGGACGGAAGGGGGAGGCGCGGAAAGGGGAGGCGCGGAAGCGGGAGGTGCGGAAGGGGGAAATGAGGGTTTAGCGGGCAGCGGCGGAGTCCATAATTCCGCGCGCACCTGAGGCGCGGAGGCCATAGGGAGGGCGAAAGGGCAGTTGTGGCGCCAGAAAACGCGTAGCGCGGAAGGCGGAAGAACAACCGCAGACAATGGTGGTGCCGGAGAAGTGCTGGGAGGAAAGCAGGGAGTTGCCATGGCGAACGGATGATAGGTGGTATGCTACGGCGCGGCGCGGTGGTATGCTACGGCGCGGCGCGGCGCGGTAGTTCGCTAACCGGGTAACCGCATGCAAATCCTTCAGTCCTTGCTGTACTGGTCTCACCTCATGCTTCCGCTCATCGCCCGCTTTCATTCCTCTCTCCTTCCCCCCATCCCCGACACACAGCTCTGCGTTGCGCAAGCCAAGTTCGGCGCCTCATCATGCAGCAAGCGCTACACAGTCAAGTCGGGCGACACGTGTGCCGCCATAATCTACAAGTACTTCCGCGGGAAGACCTCGTACGTCAGCAAGCTCAACAGCGGCTTCGTCTGCACCTCCTCCACTCTCTACGTCGGCCAATCCCTCTGCGTCTACAACCTGTGACTGAAGCCTCCTGTTCCGCGCCTGCTGACTTTGGAGTAAACTCAAAGGTCAACAGTGGCTCCATCTCCTCCACCCTCTACGTCGACCTCTCCCTCATTGTCTACAACCTCTGAGCGTTACCCTTTGTTGCGATAACATATAAGTCCCGCACGGCCGGTGGCTTCTCAGTCAACTTCCGCACCTCCTCATCGTTCTACGTCGGCCCCTCCGTCTGCGTCTGCTACCTCCCGCTCGGCTGAGTGTACATTCTACTAGCAGTGTTGTGTGTGCCTCTAAGTTCGTATGCATTAGCAGCAAACTCAACATTGGCTATGTGCGTGTCTTGTAAATGCTCAGCATTGGCCTCTCAAGCGACTATGTCCTGTAGCTATCTAAATGTAGCCAAGTGTTTGTACGATGTGTAATCATAGACATGATTTGAACATAAATTCTGATTTGTGGCCGTTGCCACTTGGCTGAGTTGTTCCTTGCAATCAACATATCGGTATGCAACGTGTTCACAAAAAAAAATTCAATGAGTGGTATGTCACTCGCTAACGGGTACGTTACGGTCGCTGTCTCAATACGTGCTGCACGACACGATCCACATATCAGCACGACCGGAGCACGAACGAATCTCGCACAGCCAGGAAGAGAGTTCGCCAAACTGCACTTGTGTCGCCTCGCCGCCCGACTCTCCTCTCGAACATTCATTTGTTCGTGGGATAATTTGGCGGGAAAGGTTTGATAAAACGAGTGGTGCAATGCGGTGTCACTGACAAACCCAAGCATGCCCTTGCTTAGGGATTGCCTCGACTCCTCCTCCTGATGACACTTCTTGGAGCTGACGGCTCTTGCTTCTATTGGTCTCACTAGTCTGCTAGTCAGGCTTGTTTGCTGTGTTATAAGGTAGTTAGACTTCATGAAATAACCTTTAACATCTCTTGTTAGTCAAACGTTTGAAGATGCCAGTCGGATCGCCTTTCCAACGGCTACCGGAGGAGGTGATGTCTCAGGTCCTGCATTTTCTGGTTCGACCTGATGGCCAGTTGGAGCACGCACCGTGTTAGCAAGCATTGGCATCGAATTGCGTACCGCTTGCAAAACGAGCTCCACTTGCCCAAGAACCTCCGTATCGATCCGCATCAGCTCGTTCAACTTCTGTCCTCGTTCCCTAACCTCAAGAAGCTATATCTTTCCTATCGCAGCCTCACACCAGCCTTTAACTCGTTATTCTCTCGCCTAGCTGACGTGTGTCCTCATCTAAGCCAGCTTCGCGTTGAATCGATGGGATGTGAATACAGACACGCGGGTGTAACTGAGAAAGGCCTGGAGTGTCTGTTCGAGGGGTGTACACTGCTGGAAGATCTCTATTTGGACTGTTCGCGGCGTGCCACCATTCCTCCGTCAATCGACCGACTCACTTTGCTCAGAAGCTTGAACCTCCGGGAAAGCGTCACTCAACTTCCCGACTCGTTTGCCTCGTTGCAGTCTCTCAGAAGCCTTGAGCTGCACACTTACCATCTGGCGGCTCTGCCTCGCGATTTTGGCAACTTGGTTTCCTTAACGTTGCTCAAGTTGCATGGCTGCTGTTCCCTGGCATCTCTTCCAGAATCTTTCGGACAACTTGCCAGTCTGAACCTTCTATCCTTGATGCAATGCTCGATGCTTCAGCTGCCGGCCTCTCTCACCAAGCTTTCTTCCCTCGCCGTCCTGGAAATTCGATATAGCAAGTTTTCTCTCCCGTCACCCATCAATTTTCCTCGACTCTGGAGGCTCGAAACCCTCATTCTGGAAGAAGTGACGGGATTGCGCGGCCTAATCGAGGCTCTTGAGCATCTGTGGCGGCTCAAGACTCTAGCTATCAAGCGCTGCAGCGATATCACGTCTCTCCCCGAGTCTCTTTTCCAACTGCCTTCACTCACCAGTCTCACCCTCAGCATGTCACAACTAGCAGTTCTGCCTGACGATATGGGGTGGTTGTCACAGCTACAGACACTCGTGCTAGAGTTGAGGGAGCTTACAACACTTCCTGATTCCATTGCTCAGGTTACCACGCTCCAGGACCTTTCCTTAGATGATATCTGGAACCTGCCGTCTCTGCCCGAGGACTTCGGGCAGCTGATTTCTCTTGAAAAGGCTGCGCCTGAACAACCTTCGCCAGCTCACACGCTTGCCTGAATCTTTCGGGCAGATGACAGCTCTCCGGGAGCTGAAATTTATGGAGTGTTGGCAACTGCAGCAACTTCCGGACATCCTATCCCAGCTATCTTCTCTCGAGCACCTGGAGATTAAGAGTTGTCCGACCCTCACGGTGCTGCCAGATGAATTGGGAAACGGTATGCAGCGTCTGCGCTATCTGCATCTGGACAACTGCTCATCTCTCACCCACCTCCCTCCATCCTTCTCCGCCCTGACGTCCCTCGAAACCCTCAAGATCATGCAAGCCAAGCGCTTCACAGGCACCCTACTGGACGACTTCTGCTGCTTGAAAGCCCTCAAGGAGTTGGTGATTTATGACATGCCACGCCTATCTGCTCTTCCTGCTTCCTTCTCAGGCGTCTTTTCCCTCACCAGCCTGGAAGTTATAAACTGCCCTAGAGTAACGGTCCTGCCACAGGGGATCGGACGGCTGGAGTCACTCGAGGTAGTCAAGATCGCACTGATGGACGGCTTGAAACGTCTCCCTGCGTCGCTTGTTGAGCTGCCCCGAGTGCGGGTGTTGGAGGTGCGGGTATGTGGTGGGGTTGGCGCGTTGTTAGGGGATGAGCTGGTGCTGAAACGCACTGCCAGGGGTTCTTCTTCTGCAAGCTCCAACAGCACTGCCAGAAGCAGCACCAGCAGGGTAGTGCTTCCATCCCTCAACACCCTCAAGATGAAGTGTCTTCCCTTTCAGACCCTTGGTCCGTCCCTTGGCCAGCTCTCCTCTCTGACGAAGCTGAAGCTCCTAGATATGGACAGCCTTGTATCACCCCCTGAAGCCATTTGTCAACTCTCGCGCCTGAGAAGGCTTTGGATAGATTCAGCCATGCGGTTGGAGGCGTTGCCTGACACCTTTGGCGCGCTGGCAGGGCTGCGTGTCTTGCAGCTGGTTCACCTATATACAATCCGGCAGCTTCCCGAGTCTTTCGGGCAGCTGAAGATGCTTGAGACGCTGGAGATTATTGACTGCCACAAGCTGATGAAACTCCCAGAATCCTTCGTGAATTTGTCTAAGTTACAGTTCTGTATCCTTATCAAGCTTGGGATCTCGAGATTTCCAGGGAATTTTTGGGAGCTATCTTCCCTCCAGGAGTTGGTGCTCCTGGGGCTGAAGCAGGTCCGCAGCTTGCCAGAGTCGTTTGCACAGCTGCCTAAGCTACAAGTGCTGCTGGTGACTGCGTGCAACAAGCTGGCTCGGGTGCCGTCTTCTATCCGGAGAATGCCAACGTTGCGTGAGTACGATATCAGCGAGTGCCCTTCGCTCTCATGGCAAGACAGGAGGGGCCTTCGTGGAAGAGAAAACGAGGAGGACGAGGAGGAGGAGGGAGTGGCGGTTGATGAAGGGGAGGAGGGAGGAGGGGAGGAGGTAGAGGGTGAGGAGAGGGGATATGTGGTGGGGGAAGGGGAAGAGATGGACGGGGAGGAGGAGGGTGCAGAGAGTGGTGGTGAGGACTGGGGGATCAGCCATGAGTATGGTTTGGACAGTGAAGATGACGGGGATGATGACGGCTGGAGGGCGAGTGATGACGATGAGGAGGCATAACATGGTGGGAGGGACTGATGAGGAGGATGGGGGGAGGATAATGCGGAGAGGTCTGGGGAAGATGGGTTTGGTTACAATCTGCTTTTAAGCACCAGAGGTGCCCTTTAGGATGCATGTGCTACTGTTCAGCGTATACCAGCTCACTGGGTCTACATTATACACTGAAAATCAGGACGATTAATGAAGACCTTTTCTTTGTGCATGCCAATGTATGAGCACAGTGAAAACCAGTGAAATGGACATGAACAGACAGACAGCGTGACGTATGAGCAACAAAGTACACAAGAAGCATCAGCTCAACACCTTGTCACATCTGCTACGACTGATTTCGGACCCCCAGGATCTAGGTAAGAAGACTAGAAACCGATTCACGAGAACACGACAACCTTCTCATCAGCGCCGTACCGCTGCCAGTTGCCTCCGAACGCCCAGTTCTCGAACCCGCCATTGCCAAGATTCTCCACAGAGAACGCGCCCTGCTTGTAATACACCGTGAACTCCGAGTTATCAAAGAAGTGCCACACCTCCACCTGCGCGGACGCTGGATCACCCTGCAGGGAATGGTCGCTCTTGATCACCATCACGTTGTAACCCGCGTTCATGAATATATCGACGATCTTCTGAGTCACCTCGTCGTCGTTTGGACCGTCGATCGTGCCCAAGCTGCCGGCAATGATCTGATCAACGGTCACCCCGTCCCAACTGAAAAGTTTCCGCTCCACCCTGTGCGGAGATACCGCGGAATCCGCGCGGGCGAGCGCACGGCGGTTGGCGAAGCTGCGGGTTGCGCCGGTGGTGGAGGGGGACGCGCGCAGGCTAGACCGCGCGGCGCTGGCGCTGGTGACGGCGAGGAGGAGCAGGAGGGAGAGTGTGAGAGGAGCCAGCTTGCGAGCCGACTGCAGCCATGCGTTGGCCATTGAGAAACCTATCAGATGGTCAAATCTTAGCTGTACGATTGTGAGAGAGTCAAAATCAGCGATGCCAAGCTGATCTTGCACGTCAATGCGAAAATTTTAAATCTGTGAGCAGCGAGGTGCTTGGTGTACTAGATCGAAGCTTGAATGGAAGAAACGGAGGGAGAAGTTCTGATGAGTATTGTGAGTTGAGCGTCTAATTTATAGCCTTTCGTATAGTTCTGACTTGGAATCGGACTCCGACGGGATGGGGCTTCGCGCCTTGCTTGAGCCGCCATGCCCAATGTCTTGCGAACAGGCCGAGCCGCAAGGCACGCGTAGGGACTTTCGCGTCGCTTGGACGTGAATGGTACGGGAGGATGGGTTTCTCGGTCCGTAAAAGGGGTCAGCAACTGAGGTAGGAAATAGCTAACCAGAATAGCTAACAAGAGAATCGTATTGGAACGGCTAGCGACGAAGGAATGGGTGAGGCGTGTTGGGGGGTGGAAGCGCGCAGGTCCGCCTGCTTTGGGGCGGTAGTGGTCGCTTCGTTGCAGGTGGTAAGGGAATCAGGTACGGGCGTGTCGTTTGGTCCGTCAGTTCGTCCGTTGGCGAAATCGACGAAGCTGCTGAAGCACTCTTCACTTGGAGCCGAAAAAGGGTAACTTGTGCGACAGGGTTTATGATAAACCGCGTAACTGTTACGTGGGCCCCACACCCTTACGTAAGCGACAGTCCGAAAAGCCTTTGTCCCACATATTGGAACGGTTTCAACAGAAGTCACGAGAACCCCTGTACTGAGTACAGATTCAAATCTCCCTGCCATCTCGGATCTCGTTTTCTAGAGCTTGTTTCAAAGTCGAACTTGGCTGTGTCTCCTCGATAGTTTCCAGTCAGGGATCACCATTGGATTTTCACCAAGCCTTTGGCTGCTGCCGTTCCACGGAATCGTCGGAACCTAGAGAACTGCTGTTGTTTCTTTTTCGAACGGGCATGTGAGAGTTTACGATTAGCCGCGCGTGATTCCCGCTGTCGCTAGCCTGCCAGGCAGTGCCGCTTCTGTAGTTGTCATCGACCTGAAACTGGGAATCCAAATTCTGCCCAATAATCATTCTACCCGTCGAAGTGAACTCCGGAAGCGCGCAGTGTCGATCATTTCGCAAACGAGCCTCTAGTTTCGTCGCAACGAAGCTCGCGAAATCGTCCGAACCTGAAACAACCATCTTTTGAAGGGCAGCGGAACCGAAATGTCTCGCGCCGCAGCCTTGCCCGTGAGAATCGAGCAGCCAGCAGAATCATGTAATATGTTTGCCCTTATAGAAATTTCAGGCCGGGCAGTTTGCCGGAGCAGAGAGCTCAGAAAATCCCGGACACTGAAAGGGCAGCAGGAATTCCCCAAGCCTGTTCCACGCTCTGCTGCTGCTCCCCGCAACCCTCCTCCCTCCTCTCCTCTGCCTTGTGCCTCCTCACCTCAGTTACAAAGTATCATTCCCTCAGCTTAATCATTCTCAGAGTCTTACTTTCAAGTTTCCTCTACGAGTCTTGATAGCAATCTTCCTACCAAGCTTCACACTTGCTACTGTGTTCCAAGTTTTCTACCGTCGAAGCTTTGTTCTCGAGGCATTCTCCTCTTATCTCACTCGAGTACCACTAGATTCTCATGGCCCAAGCTGGTTATCCTAGTTTCTCTGAAGCCCTTCGTCTCTGGAAGAACCGGACTGCTCCCTTGCAACAGCAGGTTCAAGTCCCCGCGTTGTCACCTCCTTGCTCGGCTGAAGAGGAGGAGGTCTCGCGGATTGAGGCATCACGGAACTCCTCTGAGGCTTCAAAAGAGTCTTCCGAAGCTGCAGTGGACTCCTTCGAGGCTGAAGAAATCTCGTACGAGGCTGCAGGGTACTCCTCCGAAACCTCAGAGGAGTTTTCTGGAGCTGCGGATGGCTTCCCTGTGCCTGCAGAGGCATCCATTGAGGCTCCAGTTGAATCTTTTGACAAGGACTCGCGGATGGAGTGCGATGGGATCAGTGTGTGCAGCATCGTCGCCAGCATGACCAGCATGGTGGACAGGATCTGCACGTCGCTTGTCAGCAGCTCTAGCAGCAGCTTTGGTAACACGACGCGTTTCTACAGCAACTGCAGCAATGAAGATCACGTGGATTACAGCAACAGCTTCTGTTTTGCCTTGCCTTGGGCAGCAGTGACCAGAGAGGCTGTCACTGCTGGTCACAGCAAGCTCAAGAATGGCGGCAATGGTGACTTGAAGTGGGAACCCAACCAAGTCTTGAAGTCAGCAGCGACTACAGAGCTGGCTTCAAGCAAGCGCTCAGTCGCGAGAATGGCACTGGCTAGCTTGAAGCTGCTGCCTACGCGCATTCCCAAGCCTGGCAGCACACGTGCTCCTGCTTTAAAGGCCGTTGCTGCAGAGGAGAGGAATGTTCCGTATGGATCTGTGTGTTCGCGCATTCCCAAGCCTGGGAGCGCACGTGCTCCTGCTGTGAAGAGCGTTGCAGCGGAGGAGAGGAAGGTTCTGCTTGGATCTGTGTGTTCTGAAAATGGTACGGGATCCAAACAACAAACCAGGAGGCGACAGGAGAGAGTTGACAGTGTGAAATCTGCGGGGAAGCAAGGCAATGTGAGGGTGACAAGGGTGGCTGCAGTGAGGCCTCCATGGCGGCCTTGAAGACTGAGATGTGGTGGTAGGAGTGGTTAGAATGGTGTCTGGGCAAGTGAATGCTCCCGGTGTGACTGGCAGCAGCATTGTTAAGGTCTAGTTCTGTACTATATTCGTTAGGTCTTGTCTAGTCTCTGTAATGCTTACCTATGTATTGCGATATACTACGGGTACGTTCTTAGCCTGTGTCAAGTTTCCTGACACAAGCCTCTCGACAGCTCCGATCGTTCCATGTCAGCCTGCCTGAGACAGGCCAAGAACGCACCTTATTACGGTATGTGCCTGCAAGTCTGGCTTTTGTCTGGTGTAACATGGCTCTTTGTTCACCACATACAAAGTCTGTTTGTTGAAGAAAAACCATCACTAGTTCCTTGAGTTGCCTGGCAGGCAGCCTTCCTCAATTTCATGATGAACTGAGTTTACAATGGGCTCAACCCAAGCTGCACTTGCACAACTGTCACATTGTTGTGATAAATGGTCACCAGTGCATGTGTTTGCATTGAGGGTACATTCTAACTGCCATCCCCTGGTTTCAGCACCCATGCAGCACCATTTGTGACACACAGCTTCTTCAGAACCTGCTTGTAACACAACCACAAAGCAAACAAGAAAGCAGGCGCAAAGCTTAGACGGACACAGGGAAAAGGACGAGACGGGTTAAACCAGGCATGCTCAATCTGTAAGCATGCGTGGGCCATGGCAGCAGGGAGGAAGGCAGGCTCACCGATTGGTACGATGCAGCGGGCACTTGGGCTTTAAGTGCAATGCGTGTGGCCTCCACTATCTCTGTTCGCTTCAGCCCTACCCCCCCTGCGCCCTTGGCTCTCAGCAGCGCAATCACCACCTCCCTGTGCCATGCATTGAGACGGAGGGAGGCAGGGAGTATAAGTGTTGGGAGTACATAGCACTCCCTGTGATGTGAGGGTATGTATGATTGTGGCGCATCCTTTCCTTTCAGGGTTCTTCAAAGAGGGGTTATGGACTTTGATGCAGCCGTGAAAGATGGAAAGGTTTAAAGCATATGCTTTGTTTCGAAAGGATTTATTTGCAGGAAAGATTGAAGTGGTTGCGCGCAATTCGAGTGCATTATTTAGCTGAGAGTTGTAATTGGAGTCATCTCTGGCGCTAGACCCGAAATGTCCACCTGGCGTTTTTGTGTACTCTCCAGATCATAGACTCCTTGAGATTTCCGAAGAAGTTATTCGAAGATGGTGGTGTAGCTTGTATCTTGGACGTGGAACACTTTCCAGAGGCTTCCCTCCTGCGGCCTCGTTACTAGGATGCAGCGACGGTCACGAAGTTGCAACAGCGCGTACATGTGGTGCGAAACATTCCCTGCACGTGACGAAACGCAAGCGACAGCTTACGAGTGCTTGTAGCTCGGACTGACAGTCCCGTTGAGTTCAACTCACAGCTTCACCCTCAGCCGTGGCGCGTCTCCCAGTTCCGCCATGGCTCCTCCTGTTACCTGCAGCTGACCCAATTCTCGGGTTGACCCGCCTTTCGAGCAAGGTGCATGTGCAAATCAAGTTGTAAATCCTCGAAATCTCCGCCCCGAAACGTCACCTCTCGCACTTGTCTGCATCGATGCCGTGGTGTGTTGTTCTGGCAAGCGCCTTGATAAGCGGATTCGTCCGTTCACCAGCGGCATCTGATTGGTTCAGCCTTTCGCCAGGCTGTCATTTGCTGGTGTTCTCGTCTCGCTCCACCATTGGATAGACCTAACACGCTTGTTAGTCGATAACATGCTAGTCACTGCGTCGTCCGACGTTCCGACTAGACACAGTAGTGACTCGTCCTCGTGCTAGTAAATTCAGCGAATAATAGTCGGGGGTTTGCGTTTCTTCCATGGCGCGTCGTTTATCCTGTGACGATTGTAGCCGATGCGTTTTGTGATAGGTTCAGTTCGGATTTTTTTCGCCTTTCTACTGATGCCATTCTTTTCGCCTCGCTAGCCGGAACTCTCCCTCGATAGTAGCTCCACCGTTATAGTCTCAACGCGCGTCTGATCCTTCATTTGAATCCGACAGGCTTTCATTTCATCATCAAGGCGAGCAATTACGATAAGATCACCCTTGGTATTCTCGTTTTAAGGTCATCCACGCTAGCAGTAGTTCGGATACCAATCTCCCTTTCAGTCCTAAGGTCTCCGCAATTCACCACCAGGTCTGTCCGTCACCGTCTCGGGCTCGCTCTCCGCGAATCCGCCAAGTGTCGTTGCCCTCTCCTGCCACGTGGCACTCTATCTTCCACGTGGCATCCCGTCATCCATGGCGCAGCTCCCCGTCGCGATCGCCGTGAGCCTCGCGGGAGGCGTGGCGCTCCTCCTCCGCCGCCGTGGCCGGCGGAAGCGGGACGACGCGATCCGCGAATCAGAGGAGGTGGTCGCGGAGGCGGGGGAAGACGGGGAGGGGGAAGGTGGTGAGGGGGACTATGGGGACCTGGCGGAAGACGACGAGGAGCTGGCGGAGGGGGAAGCGGGGGATGAGGCGGAGATGGGGGAGGGGGGGGGCGAGGGGGAAGCGGCGGAGGCGGCAGCGGGATTGAAGCTGCTGAGAGAGGAGTTTGAAGCAGCCTTGTTCGATGGGAAGGAGTTTGACATTGACTGGGATGAGTTCCCGTACCACATCAGGTACGGCGTGCTTGTGGACAAATTTCCGTACCACATGAGGTACGGCATGCCCTTGAAAAAATTACTTTGCTCGAACCACCCGAGTTCCTTCCATCCATGCTCCCTCCCATCCATCCTGCTCTCCGCTTCCCCCTTCCTACCCCTCCCCCGTCCCCTTTCCCCCCCGCCTAACTCCACTTTCCTCCCCCACTTCAGTCGCAGTAACCATGGCAAGGACGAGGCAACGATCATGTGCTTCTCCTTCTTTGTTGTATCTCATTGCCAAATCCGTGTGTTCCATGCATGCTCTCTCCCATCCTGCTTTCCTCTCCCCCCTTCCCCCTAAACCCCCAACCCACCCCTCGTTTGTCCCCCTCGCAGCAACCACGCCAAGGAGCATCTACTCGCGTCCTTCTTCGTGCATCTCAAGCGCACCCGCCTTGCCAAGTTCGTTGCATGCTTCCCCAACCTCAGCAACTGGATCCTCCTCTCTGGACCTCACGGTGAGCCTCGGCCCGCACCACAGGATTAGGTTCGGGCACGAGTAGGGTCGTGCATCACAGAGCTCGCTTTGGACAAGAGTTCTACCACATACACCCCCTAAGGGGGCGCTTACAAGAGTCAAATCAAAGTCACTTTTGAGACTACTCAAAAGTGATTTCCACAGAGCTCGCTTTGGACAAGGGTTCTACCGCTACAACCCCAAAGGGCACTTACAAGAGTCAAATGAGGGACGTCCACTTGAAGGTCATGGTCAAGTGCTGTGCCACTTACACCACAGAAGGGGCATGGCATGTATACATTGCCGTTTCCTTGTCCCACGTGCAGGCAGCAAGGTGTATCAGGACACGTTGGTGAGGGCCATTGGAAGGAAGGAAGCTTAACTCGCGCCTCTTGTTGCTCTCTGCTCTCCCCCTTAACCCCCCCCCCCCCCCCCTCTCCCGTGTCTGCGCTGCTGGGTGTGCGAGCAGGCAGCGAGGTGTATCAGGACACGCTAGTGAGGGCCATCGCCAGGAAGCTCTTGCGCGCCTTTTGTTGTCCTCTGCTTCCCCATTTCACCCCCACCTTCCCCTCCTCTCCCGACCTCCCCCTTTTCATCTACATGCAGGCAGCGAGGTGTATCAGGACACGCTAGTGAGGGCCATTGCAAGAAAGCTCAACGCACGGCTCATTGCTGTTGACGCTGACAAGTTCCTCTCCCCTGTGAGTGCTGCACCTGCACCTCCTCCACTCGCACTCATTTGTTGCTGTGTATTATAACCACCAAAGATGGTGGAGTTTTGTAAGCAAGTGAAGTGAAGCTTGCGAGCGAGCCTGTTTTATGATCTCCATCTCTCTCTCTCTCTCCCTCCCTTCCCCCACCATCTGGAGGCTGGACTCCCCCACCTTCCCACCCCCTGCCGCCCTTCCAACTGCCCTCCCTTGACCACCTCCGCCCGCCCTTCCCTGCCTCTCGAGTCTCACCCTCCCCACAACCTGCTTCCATGCCATGCGCTCACTCTGTGTCCACTGCTGGTCTGTGCCGCGGTGTGACATGGCGTGGGGTGGTGTGGTGTGGTGTGGCGTGGTGTCGTGTGGTGTCGTGTGGTGTGGTGTGGTGTGGTGTGGTGTGGTGTGGTGTGGTGTGGTGTGGTGTGGTGTGGTGTGGTGTGGTGTGGCGGCGCATGGCGGCGTGTGTGCGTGGTGTGTGGCATGGCATGGCATGGCATGGCATGGCATGGGGCAGGCGGACATGTCATCGGTGCCCAAGAGGAGGGCGACCACAGACAAGCCGCGCGACTCTCTGGACTCCGCTGGTCTCTCCGACTCCCTCGACTCGCCCCTCGTGTGTGCCGCTGCCCTCGCCCTGCCTCAGCCCCTTCCCGCCCCGCCCCTCCCTGCCCCTTCCCTGCCTCGAGCCTCCCCCCTCCTCTCCACCCCTCCACGCCCTTCCACCTCCCTCCTCAACCTCCCCCCAATTTCCTTGTGCTGCTGTTTCTAGCCCACCTGTCGCCTTTCTTGGCTAGAGTTTTTTAGTTGCTTCACTCCCATCCCATGTTGACTGGCAATGCTACACACCTCCCTCCCTTGTAGCAAGGTACAACTAACGGCCTCCCTTGTTGCACGCGTTCACTCCATCTGTCTGAATCGCAGACTCGCTCGCCCTCACCTCCCTCGTTTTAGGACGTCTCGAAAATATGTTGTAGAAACTACCGACCTCTCTTTTTCCACACACTCACTCGATCTGTCGGACGGTCAAACCGTCTCACTCTTACCCCCCCCCCCCCCGTCTTCTCCCCACATTGCTCCGTTGCTGGTACGCGTGGGTGCACCCGGCCGGCTTTGTCAGATTGAACTTGTGGTAGCTGCAAAATCCATCTGCAACAGTCCAATCATTCCTTCCCCTTCTCTCTCCCCCTGCGCACCCCTTTTGTACTATGCGAGTGTGGTGAAGCACGCTGTGGGCATAGCAGCCAGGATGGCTGTGGGGGTGGCTGTGGGGGCGTGAGAAAACGCACGGCACACCCTTCCGCTGTCCCAGCTCCTCCCATCCCCCTCTTCCCCTTTCCCTCGCCTCCCACCCTTGTAGTACGCGAGTCTGGCGAAGCAGCTGGTGGCGATGGCAGCAATGATGGCCGTGGGGGTGGCTGTGGGGAACACCCTGGGCACACCCTTTCACTACACTCCGCACACCCTTTCGCTGTCCCACCTCTTCCCTTCCTTCCCCCATCCCCACCTCCCCGGCCCCCCCGCCTCCCACCTTTGCAGTACGCGAGTTTGGCCAAGCAGCTGGTGGCGATGGCAGCAATGATGGCTGTGGGGAACACTATCGGCACCCTTCCTCTGTCCCGCCTATTCCCGTCCTCCACCCTCTCCTCCCACGCTTTCCCTTGCCTACCACCTTTGCAGTATGCAAGTTTGGCTAAGCAGCTGGTGGCGATGGCTGCTATGATGGCCGTGGGGGTGGCCGTGGGGAACACTCTGGGCACAGGCAGCGGCAGGGGCACAGGGGGCACGGGGGCAGGCGGGGACAGCAACAGTGGCGCTTACTCTCAGAGCGGCGAGGGGGAGGGGGAGGGGGAGGGGCGGGGCGGCGGGGATGACTATGGGTTTGGGAGTGGGGGAGGGGAGGAGGATGGGGCGACCAGGGCGCTGAGAGTGGGTAAGTGTTATGACCTGCGCTGGCAGTGCCTAGAGTGGCATGCCCTGTGGTAGCGCCGTCAGACGATAGCAGACAGACACTGACTGTTAAGCAGCTCGAGGGACGGTAGCAGACAGACCCCAGTCGCCGGAGCTTATGTAGGCGCAGCGCCTCTAGGCTAAGATGGGTCCGTACGATCCAACTAAGCCTCTAGGGCAGTTAGCTGCGTGCAATCCTCGGAAAGAAATTGTGTGGCTCCAACGTTTTCAAGCGTGATCTCTTTGAGTGCGGTTGCAAGGAATACTGAAGGAGGCAGGTGGAAGAGAATTTCAAAGTGCCTTCTTTCAAAACGTTCTTTCACATGATTTTTCATGTGATCATGAATCTGGCTTTATGTGATTCGCAAACTGCTCACGCGCCAATGTGACATGTCGTGTGTGTGGTGCGTGTGCCTCGTCTTGCCAATGTGGCCCGCCTTGCCAGGGGACCGGGTCACCTATGTCAACGTGGACGGCTACAGCACGGACGTGCCTGTCCCCAGGTGTGTGGGAACTCTCACAGGTGCCACTGAGGTGCCTGTTGGGAGGCCAGGTGCGGTTGGGGTGAGATGACTTTTGAGTCGACTCAAAAGTCAACCCTGTCCCCAGGTGTGTGGGAACTCTCACAGGTGCCACTGAGGTGCCTGTTGGGAGGCTAGGTGCGGTTGGGGTGGGTTGGAGGCACAACTTGAGACTTGTTCAGGTTCCGTGTCACCTATGTCAACGTGGACGGCTACAGCACGGACGTGCCTGTCCCCAGGTGTGTGCTTCACAGGTGCCGCTTGGAAGCCCAGGTGCGTTCACCGTCTTTCTCATCTGTTACAGTAGCGGCGTTAGTGTGCGCACCATCTGGGAGATATTGTTGGTGGTTTTGAGAATTCTCAAAAACACCGTGTGCGCACCATCTGGGAGATATTGTTGGTGGTTTTGAGAATTCTCAAAAACACTGTGTGCGCACCATCTGGGAGATATTGTTGGTGGTTTTGAGAATTCTCAAAAACACCGTGTGCGCACCATCTAGGAGATATTGTTGGTGGTTTTGAGAATTCTCAAAAACACCGTGTGCGCACCATCCGGGAGATATTGTTGGTGGTTTTGAGAATTCTCAAAAACACAGTGTGCGCACCATCTGGGAGATATTGTTGGTGGTTTTGAGAATTCTAAAAAACACCGTGTGCGCACCATCTGGGAGATATTGTTGGTGGTTTTGAGAATTCTCAAAAACACCGTGTGCGCACCATCTGGGAGATATTGTTGGTGGTTTTGAGAATTCTCAAAAACACCGTGTGCGCACCATCTGGGAGATATTGTTGGTGGTTTTGAGAATTCTCAAAAACACCGTGTGCGCACCATCTGGGAGATATTGTTGGTGGTTTTGAGAATTCTCAAAAACACCGTGTGCGCACCATCTGGGAGATATTGTTGGTGGTTTTGAGAATTCTCAAAAACACCGTGTGCGCACCATCTGGGAGATATTTTTGGTGGCGTGGCGTTCTTTAGATGGTGCAGTGTATACATGGGCAAATGGCGAGTCGAGTTTAACTTGACTCGTTTTGACGAGTTTTTTCCCTTTGACGAGTCGAGTCGAGTTTTACTCGTCGAGTTTTTTTGGTCAAAATACTGACTCGAAACTCGGCCCCAAAGTCGAGTTTTTTGAAAACTCGGATGAGCCTAAAAAAAACTCGTCCGAGTCAAGTAAAACTCGACTCGATCTTGAACACTACCCTAGCCTAAAACCCCAGCCACACCAAAACTGTAGTAGGGTGCCCAGAAAACTGCCACACGCGTCAACACCCACAAACGACCCAGCCAGCCCCACCTCTCCTCCCCCCTTTCACTTTCCAACCAAGCTACTCACCGCCACGCCAGCTGCACTTGTGTTCACAATTAAGTGGTGGAACACATCCAAAACAGCGAGCCACACCTCCAGCAGCATATTAACCCAGAAACAGACACTTGTACCCCCCCCGTGGTGGACCATTTGATGCACGAGTTTTTTAAAACTCGTCTAGGTTAAACGAAACTCGTGAGTGACAAAAAACTCGCGAGTTATGGGAAACTCGCCTGTCTAGCCGAGTTTTTCACGAGTTTTTTTTAAACTCGCGAGTAAAAATCGACTCCTTTTCACGAGTTTTTTTTTAACCAAAATCAGAACTCGAAACTCGTTATTTTCGAGTACGTAAAACGAGTCTAGTAAAAACTCGACTCGTTTGCCCATGTATAGTGCAGTGCAGTGTTAGATAGAGAGCGAGCACACTCAGCTATCCTGCACCATCTCGTCTCGCACCTCTCCTGCGCTCACTTGCCCGGGATGATATAGCGAGCAACCTAGCTAGGCGGGAGGGAACCTCGGGAGATCGAGGTTGGGCGCAGGCAGGCTGCACAAGAAAAAAGGCCAAAGGCGACCTGTGCGTCGACTCATAAAGTCACCTCACCTCTCCAGCGGGAAGTATCCATGCGTTCAGCTCTTTTCTTTCTCCCCCGAACCATTCATTTTCCACTAGCCCCTCCAGTCAACCCCTTGGGGAGCCACAACGGTAGGGATGCGGTTTGACTCGCCTGTCAACAACACCTGAGGTGCCGCCGATCCACTCACCTTGTCCTTACTCCCCTGCTCCCTTGCAACCCCCCCCCTCGCGGAGCAACGGGGCAGGTGGTCGCGACGTACGAGACGGTGGGTGTGCCATGTGGCTTGCTGCTTGTGTCCTCACAACTCTCCCTTATCTGCTGCTTTCTCTCTTCCCACTCCTCCAGTCGCCCTCCTCGCGGAGCGACAGGGCAGGCGGTGGCGACGTATGAGACGGTGGGGGTGCGATTTGACTCTCTGCCTGCTCGTGGCCACACCTGACCTCACATGCCTCCCTCCTCTTCCCTCTTTCCATCCAGTCGCCCCCGTCGCGGAGCAACGGGGCAGGTGGTGGCGACGTATGAGACGGTGGGGGTGCGCTTTGACTCGCCGCTTGTATCCCCACCTCACCTCACTCCCTCCTCTTCCCTCCTCTTCCCTCCTCTTCGCCCTTCCAGTCGCCCCCCTCGTGGAGCAACGGGGCAGGTGGTGGCGACATACGAGACGGTGGGGGTGCGCTTTGACTCGCCTGTGCCGGGCGGCCACTCCCTCAGCGGCCTCTGTGACGGGGGGCACGGCCACATCTGCTACGGTGCGATGCGGTGCTCTGCGGTGCAGTGCAGAGTTCTTGGGTGGATGGGGATGGGATGGGCGATGGGGATGGGATGGTTCTGTGTCCTAGGGGGGGCACAGTTTGTGGTTAATGTTGCACATGTTGTATGTCAGTAAGTTGTGCAGTTGGTTGGTTGCACATGGGTGTGCATGGTTGCACATGGGTGTGCATGGTTGGACATGGGTGTGCATGGTTGCACATGGGTGTGCATGGGTTGGGTGCATGAGGCACGTGCTGCTGTTGTATACTAGTTAATTTTTATCTTGACGCTGGCTACCTGTCTGCACCACTCTGGACATTTCTGCGTCCTTCTGCACCTTGCCGCACCTTCGTTTCTTTCCTGACTCCCCACATGACTCTCCATGCCACACCCCCCTTCTGTTCTCTCCCTGCCACGTCAGCATCTGAGCTGCTATTGGAGGAATCATCCAGCAGTGTGAAGGAGTGTGCAGCCACCGTAGCTCTCATGCAGGTATGGTACCGAGGCAGACAGGTAGGTACGATGCCATGGCAGAGACGTAGGTGCAGTACCGAGGCAGATGGAGAGGTGCAGTACCGTGGCTGAGGTATGGCAGTGTGGAGGTGTGCATAGCCATTGTTTCAAGGCCGTGACGACATGACATGACATGACATGGATGCTGCAGTCGTTGGCACTGCTAAGTCGTGCATGAGTGCCTGTCGAACATGGCAACAAATTCGCAGCTCACTCTGTTTAGAATGAAATTGCTGAAATACCAAACCGCACTTTGCACCCTTCTCATACTCGCTTTCTGCCCGCCCACCCAATCAGGTGCTGGAGAAGGAGCTGCCACGTGGACCAATCATTGTCTTCATCCGCGACGCGTCGCGATTGGCCGAGGCCTCCTCTAGTGCCGCCCAATTCGAGGCCCAAATGAGTCGTCTAGTGGGGCCCATTGTGTTTGTCGGCTCTGTGGCTCGCTCCGAATCCTCCTCTGCTGCTGCTGCGAAAGATGCGGTGAGTGATTGGTGAGGGAGGAAGCTCTTACCTTGATTGACTGCATACCCCCTTGCATTGACTGCTTGCTCCACTTGAGTCGTCTTGTGGGGCCCATCGTGTTTGTTGGCTCCGTGGCTCTCTCCAACCCCTCCTCTTCTGCTGCTCCTGCTGCTGCTGCTGCTGCTGCTTCTGCTGCTGCTGCTGCTGCTGCTGCTTCTGCTGCTGCTGCTGCTGCTGCTGCTTCTGCTGCTGCTGCTGCTGCTGCTGCTGCTGCTGCTGCTGCTGCTGCTGCTGCTGCTGCTGCTGCTGCTTCTGCTGCTGCTGCTGCTGCTGCTGCTGCTGCTGCTGCTGCTGCTGCTGCTGCTGCTGCTGCTGCTGCTGCTGCTGCTGCTGCTGCTGCTGCTGCTGCTGCTGCTGCTGCTGCTGCTGCTGCTGCTGCTGCTGCTGCTGCTGCTGCTGCTGCTGCTGCTGCTGCTGCTGCTGCTGCTGCTGCTGCTGCTGCTGCTGCTGCTGCTGCTGCTGCTGCTGCTGCTGCTGCTGCTGCTGCTGCTGCTGCTGCTGCTGCTGCTGCTGCTGCTGCTGCTGCTGCTGCTGCTGCTGCTGCTGCTGCTGCTGCTGCTGCTGCTGCTGCTGCTGCTGCTGCTGCTGCTGCTGCTGCTGCTGCTGCTGCTGCTGCTGCTGCTGCTGCTGCTGCTGCTGCTGCTGCTGCTGTGAAAGAAGCGGTGAGCGTCTGGAATGACGGGTGACAGACAGTTGAGGGTGACGACGGGGCGAAGGCTGGGTCACGAGGAGACGGAGCGGTGAGGATTCAGTAGTGATGGGGGACGCCTTCACTCGTCTTGGGGACCCCTTGTGTTTGTCTCTCTCGTCTCTGCGTTTTATGTCTGTTGCCTCTCCCCCTTTCTGTTTCTCTGCCTCTCCCCCTTTCTGTTTCTCTGCCTCTCCCACTTCTCCTCTCCCTGCATCTCCGCCCCTCCCTCAACCCCTGTGCCGTGACTACAGGATGCAGCAGAGGGGGCGGCAGGAGGGGCGGCAGCAGCCGCCGGGCCTGCCAGCACGGCGTGGGAGCCGCTCAGCGACATGTTCCCGAACCGCTTTGTGGTTCGGCAGCCCAGGGCAGGTCCGGCGGCGGAGGTGTGGGCGAAGCTGATGGAGAGAGATGCGCAGCTCATGCAGATGCTGGCCAACCGGCGCATGCTGGAGAAGGTGGGGGCTGGGGAAGGTTGGATCTGGTCTGGGGGAGGTGGGGGAAATGGAGAGGTGGGGTCTAGGGGAGGTTTTTAGCATTTTCAGAAAAGAAGCGCGGCTCATGCAGATCCTGGCTAGCCGCCTGCCAGATGGCGACAGTGGGGTCCGTGAAAGGTGGGGTCTCAGGGAGGTGGGGATTGGTAGGGGTGAGGCTGCTTGGAGGTCAAGAATGAGGGAGGTGTGCACTGGGGGAGGTGCGTCTAGGTGGTGGCGGGGATGGGAGTGCAGCAAAGGGGGCCGAGAGGAGAAGGGGAGTGGACTTGTTGAGTTGAGACCCATGCACGCAGCTAGATGCGATGCGCAGGAGATGCTTGATGGACAGCCCCTTGTCCCTTGCCCTTGATGGACAGCCCCTTGTCCCTTGCCCTTGATGGACAGCCCCTTGTCCCTTGCCCTTGATGGACAGCCCCTTGTCCCTTGCCCTTGATGGACAGCCCCTTGTCCCTTGCCCTTGATGGACAGCCCCTTGTCCCTTGCCCTTGATGGACAGCCCCTTGTCCCTTGCCCTTGATGGACAGCCCCTTGTCCCTTGCCCTTGATGGACAGCCCCTTGTCCCTTGCCCTTGATGGACAGCCCCTTGTCCCTTGCCCTTGATGGACAGCCCCTTGTCCCTTGCCCTTGATGGACAGCCCCTTGTCCCTTGCCCTTGATGGACAGCCCCTTGTCCCTTGCCCTTGATGGACAGCCCCTTGTCCCTTGCCCTTGATGGACAGCCCCTTGTCCCTTGCCCTTGATGGACAGCCCCTTGTCCCTTGCCCTTGATGGACAGCCCCTTGTCCCTTGCCCTTGATGGACAGCCCCTTGTCCCTTGCCCTTGATGGACAGCCCCTTGTCCCTTGCCCTTGATGGACAGCCCCTTGTCCCTTGCCCTTGATGGACAGCCCCTTGTCCCTTGCCCTTGATGGACAGCCCCTTGTCCCTTGCCCTTGATGGACAGCCCCTTGTCCCTTGCCCTTGATGGACAAGGTGTGTTCAGAGTCCACTCAAGCCACACCCCACCTCCTCCTCTTCTTTCTCTCCCCCCTCTCTCCATTCTCGTCGCCCCCCTCTCCCCATCAGGTCATGGCCACCAATGACCTCACATGCACTGACTTGGACAAGGTGTAGATCGAGAGTCTACCCAAAGCACGCCCCATCTCCTCCTCTCCACTCTCCTCCCCTCTCTCCATTCTCGCCCCCCTCTCCCCATCAGGTCATGGCAACCAACGACCTCAGCTGCGCTGACTTGGACAAGGTCACTTTTGCCGAGCCGCTGTCGGAAGAAGGTGTGCAGGGTTGTGGGTAGGGTAGGTGCTTGGGAGCAGTTGGGGGGGGCATGGAGAGCAGTTGAGAGCGTTTATTTCTTCCCTCTCTTCCTTCGCTTCCTCCCCTTTTGTCCCCTTCCCCTCCTCCCCTTCCTTTTTTGCTTGCTTGGGGCTGGCAGCAGCACACTCCATCATGCAGGAGATTGCGCTCCCCTCACCTATTCGCTTTCGATTCCTTCACTCCTATCCCTTCCCTCCCCTTCCACTCCCTTCGTGGATCATCAGAGGCGGAGCAGGTGGTGGGGCTGGCAGCAGCACACGCCATCATGCAGGGCGCAGCAGAGGGGGCAAAAGGAAAGGCCGAGGGCTCAAGCACAGGGGAGGCAGGGGAAACGGCGAAGGAGAAGGAGGGGGATGGGGGGAAGGGGAAGGGGAAGGACGAGGAGAGGAAGGAGGGGGGGAAGGAGAGGGAAGCGGAGGAGCGGGGGAAGGAGGAGGGGAAGGAGGAGAGGGAAGGGGAGGTGGATGAGGGAGAGAGTGACGGAGGCGATCTGCTCATCTCAGCCAAGAGGTGGGTTGGTTGTTGGAGTAGCAGCATTGGAGTAGCAGCATTGGAGTAGCGATACATGTGTCTGATTTCTGATTTCTGACTTCATGTGGCGTGTGATTTCTGTCGCGCGATTTACACCTCGGCACGCACACACACCCGTCCCTTTTCTCCGCCCCGTTTCCCCTCTGCACCATCATGCATAGCAACACCTTCTTGCATACCCTTCCCCACATCCCCCTCCCCATCCCGATTCCTGCTCCTCCTTCCCGCATGTGACCACCCCCCCCCCCCCCCCCCCCCCCCCCCCCTCCCTTCCCACCAGCATAGTGCACGGCATAGCAACACCTTGCATCTCCTCCCTCCCATCCCCTTCCTTCTTCCCCCTTCTTCCCTCCCTCCCTCCCTCCCCCACAGCATAATGCACGGCATAGCGCTGCACTGGGGGCTGCAGGAGGAGGCAGCGGAGGTGAAGGTGCCCACCGCTGCTGCTGCCAAGGTGGGTGCGCCTCTCACTCACATGGGGCCTGGGGTGTGCTGAGCTTGGGGTGTGCTGAGCTTGGGGTGTGCTGAGCTTGGGGTGTGCTGAGCTTGGGGTGTGCTGAGCTTGGGGTGTGCTGAGCTTGGGGTGTGCTGGGCCTGGGGTGTTTTGGGGCACGGGAACAAGTGTGCAGTAGAGGAGAATAGAGAGGGCAGTTTACGGAATTACGTTACGTGACTGTACATGTCGTGTTCCTTGCTCCAGCAGCATCTGGGGGGACAAGCGTGCAGCGGAGATGGAACGGGAAATTTTGAAGAGCCTGCTGGCTCAACTTGCACTCCTTTCTCTCTCCCCCCTCCCTCCCCACCCAGTTTCCTCCTTTGTTGGAAGTAGGCTGCACTGCACCTTATTTGTTCGTTATTAGGTTTTAGGTTACAACTTATTGAAAGACGTTTCGCTTTGGTTGGGCGTAGACTTCTCAAATCCACCCAAATCCCCCCAGGATTCTCCCAGAATTCGATCTGGATGGATCCTCCCAGGATTCTTTCTGATTGCATTTTTTTCCACCCCAACCCCTCCTAGCATTTGTACTTCAGGCCTTGTATTGTACCTCTCTCTCTAGTCTTTACCCTTATTCTGTTATCTTTCCCCTCTTTCCCCCCCTTCCCCATTCAGAAAATCACATCAGCCAACAAGTTCGAAGAGCGCCTACTAGCAGAGGTGGTGCCACCAGACGAAGTCGGGGTCACGTTCAGCCAGATCAGAGCCCTAGAGGCCGTGAAGGACACTCTCAAAGAGCTCGTCATGCTGCCCCTCAGGCGCCCAGAGCTCTTCACACGCGGGCAGCTCACATTGCGCCCATCTCTCTCCCCCCCCCCTTACCCCTCCCTTGTTCCTTCATCTCCTCCCCCTTGCCCCTTCCTTACTCAGAAAATCACATCAGCCAACAAGTTTGAGGAGCGCCTACTAGCAGAGGTGGTACCCCCAGAGGAGGTGGGGGTGACGTTCAGCCAGATCGGAGCCCTAGAGGCCGTGAAGGACACCCTTAAGGAGCTCGTCATGCTGCCCCTCAGGCGCCCAGAGCTGTTCACGCGCGGGCAGCTGACGCGGCCGTGCAAGGGCATTCTGCTGTTCGGCCCGCCCGGCACCGGCAAGACCATGCTGGCCAAGGCCGTGGCCACCGAGGCCGGGGCGAGCTTCATCAACATCTCCATGAGTGCCGTGCTGCACAAGGTGGGTCGGTTGTAGTGTTGCATCAGGTCGGGTCGAGAAGAGCTCCAGCTTCACAAACTCTCGGTGATTAGCTAGTGTTTAGTTTTTACACACTGTCTGTCTTTTCCTACTTGCTTAAACCTACTCCTACGCAAGTGCTGCTCACTGGAAGGAAGATGTCCCAAGATCGGCTGTGCTGCACAAGGTGGGTCGGTTGTAGTGTTGCATCAGGTCGGGTCGCTGGTCCAGAACGCATAGCTAGCGTAGAAACAGAGTGCATCCCCTCGCCTTTCCTTCTCTGACATCCTTCCCTTCCCCTCCCTCCCGTCTTTCCCTCCCCTCCCCCAGTGGCTGGGAGAGGCGGAGAAGTCAGTGAAGGCGATCTTCTCGGTGGCCAGTAAGATGGCGCCAGCTGTCGTGTTTGTGGATGAGGTGGACAGCCTGCTGGGGCGGCGAGGGCAGTGGGGGGAGCACGAGGCGATGCGCAAAGTGAAGAACGAGTTCATGGCGTGCTGGGATGGGCTGCGCACGCGCGCTCACGAGAGAGTGCTGGTTCTGGCAGCCACGAATCGACCGTTCGATCTCGATGACGCCATCATCCGACGGTTCCCGCGACGGTACGGCTTCCGTCTCCTTTCTTCTCCCCTCTCTCTCCTGTGACAATGCTCACTGAAGGCAGTGGGATGGGATGGGTTGCTTGCGGGGAGGGTGTGTGTGTTGTTGACTTTCTTCTCTGCTCTACTTAACAATCAGCCTTCCGGCTTCCTCTTCTCCCCTACCCATTTCTCCTTCCCCCCCAGGCTGCTGGCGGACCTACCAGATGCGGGCAACAGGGAGAAGATTCTTCAAGCTATCCCCTGCCCTGCCCCGCTCTGCGCCCCGTACCCCTCTCGTTCTTCACCCTCCCCTCCCGCCAGGCTGATGGCGGACCTGCCAGATGCGGACAACAGGGAGAAGACAGGGAGATGAGGGTAACTCTTTGCTCTGCTCTGCTTTGCTCAATTCTGTGCTGTCTCAATTCTCACTCCTCCTTTCCCACTCCACCCCACCTCTCCTGCCTCTCTCCTTCCAGTCTCATGGTGGACCTACCAGATGCGGACAACAGGGAGAAGATTCTGAGGGTGATTCTAAAGGACGAGGAGGTGGAGGAGGGCTTTGACTACCAGGAGCTCGCTGCCATGACCGAGGGGTACTCGGGGAGTGACCTCAAGGTGCGTGGGTGGGTGTGACTTTAAGGTGGATGTGATTATAATGGGTGTGTTTGGAGTCGACTCAACAACACACTCAAGGGCGAGGAGGTGGAGGAGGGGTTAGATTATAAGGAGCTTGCTGCCATGACCGAGGGGTACTCGGGGAGCGACCTTAAGGTAAGTGTGACTATATGGGGGGGTGGTGCTGTGCTACTGATACATGCACTGCAGGTTAGTGTTAGTGTGATTGCACGTTATTTCTTCTCCCATCTATGTATATACATTCATATGTACGATGTGTATCTATATATATATTAAGTCTATTAATGTATACATGTTAATGCTGTGACACCAAGGTCCTCCGAGTCTCCACTTTCCCGCACTCCTCTCTCTCCTCCCCTGCCCTCCCCTCCCTCACCTGTGCGCCCTGCCTCCCACCAGAACCTGTGTGTGACGGCGGCATATCAGCCCATCAAGGAGATTCTCAAACAAGAGGAGCCATCCCCTCCCGTGCCCTCCTCTCCCGTGCCCTCCTCTCCACTGCCCTCTTGTCCCCTCCCCTCCCTCACCTGCCTCCCATCAGAACCTGTGTGTGACGGCGGCATATCAGCCCATCAAGGAGATCCTCAAACAAGAGGAGCAGGAGAAGGTGAGTAAGAGGAGAAGGTGAGGAGGAGGAGAAGGTGAGGAGGAGGAGAAGGTGAGGAGGAGGAGAAGGTGAGGAGGAGGAGAAGGGAGGAGGAGGAGAAGGTGAGGAGGAGGAGAAGGTGAGGAGGAGGAGAAGGTGAGGAGGAGGAGAAGGTGAGGAGGAGGAGAAGGTGAGGAGGAGGAGAAGGTGAGGAGGAGGAGAAGGTGAGGAGGAGGAGAAGGTGAGGAGGAGGAGAAGGTGAGGAGGAGGAGAAGGTGAGGAGGAGGAGAAGGTGAGGAGGAGGAGAAGGTGAGGAGGAGGAGAAGGTGAGGAGGAGGAGAAGGTGAGGAGGAGGAGAAGGTGAGGAGGAGGAGAAGGTGAGGAGGAGGAGAAGGTGAGGAGGAGGAGAAGGTGAGGAGGAGGAGAAGGTGAGGAGGAGGAGAAGGTGAGGAGGAGGAGAAGGTGAGGAGGAGGAGAAGGTGAGGAGGAGGAGAAGGTGAGGAGGAGGAGAAGGTGAGGAGGAGGAGAAGGTGAGGAGGAGGAGAAGGTGAGGAGGAGGAGAAGGTGAGGAGGAGGAGAAGGTGAGGAGGAGGAGAAGGTGAGGAGGAGGAGAAGGTGAGGAGGAGGAGAAGGTGAGAGGCGAATTCGTTAAATGGCTCCCATCATGCTTCTGACTTTGCTATTGCGTTTTATGAATATTCAAAAGACAGCAGAGTATAGGGTCTGTACCTTGTTGGTTTTTGAAGATGTGTCTCATTTCCGGCCTTTTTTTCTTGCCGAACCCATTTTAAGCAGATGAGGCTGCAGCTGGAGGAAGCTTCTAAGAAGGCGGACAGCTCAACTGCAGCAGCAGGAGTGGTGCAACCACCACCACCCGCTGCTGCTGCAGCAGCTACTGCTGGGAGTAGTGAGGGAGGTGAAGGAGATGCAGCAGCGTCAGCAGCAACAACAGGTGAATCTGACGGTTTACCAGGAAAGCCCAGCCAAGACAGTCAGCACGGCTCTGCCGCTCCTGCTGCTGTTGCTGCTGTTGCTGCTGTTGCTGCTGTTCCTGTTTCCTCTCCTGCCGCTGCTCATGCCACTTCTGCACCTGCTGACGCCACTTCTGCACCTGCTGACGCCACTACTGCAACAGCAGCCGAGAAGGAGGGTGGCAAGGGCAGCTTGCAGAGTGTGCAGCAGGGCTTGCAGAAAGATGTGTCGAGACCTGTTGAATTGGAGGGGGATTCTGTGGTGTTAGGTGGTGGTCCCACACAGGGGCAAGGTGCAGAGAGCGGTGATGGGGTGGGTGGTACTGGTATGGGCGGCAATGAGGTGGGCGGCAGTGAGGTGGGCGGCAGTGAGGTGGGCGGCAGTGAGGTGGGCGGCAGTGAGGTGGGCGGCAGTGAGGTGGGCGGCAATCAGGTTCTGTTCATTGAGGGCGATGAGACTGCGGAGAAAAGCTGCCTTGAGGTTTCTTGTAATGGAGATGCTTCTAGCGAGAACGTGTTGAGGGGTGAGGAGGATGGTGACGATAAGCAGGAAACGGGAATGGAAGGGAGTGGGAGACGAGGAGCGAGGGGAGGAGAGGAGGGTGTGAGTGTGAAGAGTTATGAGAATGGCGGTGGTGCTGTAATGAAGGGAGAGGATGAGCGGATTGCTCCATTGAAGGACGGCGAAGGTGGAGCATGCGTTGGAGAGGTGATCAAAATGAACGGCACTGTATCGAATTCCGCTCTAGTAGACAGTGCTTTGTCGAGTGACCATTCCATGAATAGCGTTTCAGAGAGTGTGACTGCAGGTGGTGTGTCTGAAGAGAATGCAATATGCAGGAAAGATGGCAGGTCAGTTGAGATGGAGGGAAGAGGGAAGGAAGAGAAAGAGGTGAGAGCGGAGGTGCGAGAGGCAGGTGCGGGGGTGGCAGAGGCAGCAGGAGGGCGGAGCATGGAAGGAGGAGTGGCAGAGCAATTGCGAGCAGATGAGAGTCGAGCCAATGCAGCAATTGCTAATGGGGGTGATTCTGCAGCAGCTGAGGCTGGGAGCGACAGGGAGAGAGGGAATGAGAGGGCTGCAGGGGATGAGAGTGCCGCGATTGCAGAAAACAGTATGGTTGCTGGGGCCAATACAATCGCAGGGGAGAGTGAAAGCGAAGGGGTTGCTGAAAGGAAAGAGGCTGCAATTGCAGAACTACAAGGGGAAGAAGCAGGTTCATTAGCCGGTTCACGGGGTAACATGGACGGAGGTGAGAAGGGGTGGAGTGCCAAGGCGGAGGGGAGGGAGGGAAAAGCAGAGGAGGCAGCAGAAGAAGCAGCAAAAGAAGCAGCAAAGGAAGCAGCAAAGGAGGCAGCAGAGGAGGCAGCAGAGGAGGCGCTAGTGAGGGGCATCGTGGAAGACATTTTGAGGCGCGGAGCTGATGACAGCAGCAGCGCCGCCCCTGCTGACCTGTGCGCTGACATGGCAGCTGCGCTGGAGATGGTCAAGGAGATCACACGTGAGGACGACACGTCAGCAACAGAAGCCGAGGAAAAGGGAGGTAGTTCTATCACAAATGCTAGAGAAGGTGTGGGTAAAACAGAAGGTGAAGCAGAGCGTAGAGACGGGGAAGAAGGAGGTACAGGAGGCACTGAAAAGGACACTCAGAGCCAAGACCAGCAGCAGTCACAAGCACCAGATTCCGCGACCTCTCTCCCTCGGCCTCGCAGCGTCTCCCTGCTCCAATTAGCAGAGGACAGCTGGCGCGAGCGCACTGGTGCAGGGCTGTCAGGATTGGGCAAGGCAGGAGCAGACGGTGCTGCTGGCAACAGCACCGGCGGCAGTGGCGGTGGTGGTAACCGTGTGTTACGGCTGCGGCCAATCACGATGGCGGACATGCGGGCGGCGAAGCAGCAGGTGGCGCCGAGCACGGCGGGGGACAGCAGCAGCATGGCGGAGCTCAGGCAGTGGAACGACCTCTACGGGGAGGGCGGCTCGCGCAAGAAGGAGAAACTCTCCTACTTCCTCTGACACGCCGCGCTTAGGGAAATATTACCTGCTCCCTCTGACTCCATGTTGACTCGTGAGGCGCCATGAGGAAGGGGGCTTTGGCTGTGCTTCCTGCAGAGCCCATCCTGCTGTACTTTCTGTTACCGGTACTTGCATATTTGCTGCACAGGCACGCTGCTTGCGAAGCAGCTCAGCAGCAGCAGGGTGCGGCTCACTGATTGTGTTTGCATTGTTCACTCAGAGACATCAGCTGGTAGTTTGAAGGAGATGGTGGTGGGTTGTGTTGTGTAAAAGTATTACCTAGTTGTGAAGGAGATGGTATTCACAGGCATGCAGCATGCTGTAACAGGCAGGCATATCTACTGGTGCTGTAGAAATTCTCTCACACATTGGGTTTGTCGTTAGCATTCAATTACTAGCATGCAGATACATTGATTGACAAACATACCTGTACTAGCTCTTTCTTCCTCCCCAATGAAAGACTAATACGGTAAGCCTATTCAAATAACTAACGAATATTCCTATTGGGGTTGGGGAATATGAGCAGGATTGTGGAGGGGCTGAGAGAGAGGGATAGCAGATAGTTTTGGATAAAGAGATGTTGTAAGATAGTGAACGGGGTAATACTGGCCAAGAAAACGCTGCATTCCACATCTGTTCTCTTTATAGACATAAGACGTGCGATTGTGGTGTGACAAAAATAAATACCAGATTGATACAATGGTTTTTTCCAAACGCGGCTATATTCCCCAATACGTCATTGCTCTCCTAACGAACGTGTGTGTGTCGGCTACAATGTCCGCACGTCCACTGCTTGTCACGACGACTTCAAAATCTGACCGTTCATCTGAACCCACTTTGCACGCGACTCGGCCGGTTGGACTGGTTAAGTTCGAATTGATTGCTGCCTTTCCGTCCCAACCACAGCCCCACCACAACGTAGTCTGTCCACTGCTGTCGCCCGAACAAATCAAGCGAGTTGATTCTAAGCAGCAACTTGAGTTTGGAGTCGGGTAGTGAAGTCCCTTTCTCTCTTGCCGTATTGAAATTGTTGCGTTCCTTCAAGTTTGAAGTTGCGGGCATAGGCCTGCATGCATTGCAGTGTACAACCGGACAGCATTCCAGCCTGAGCACCGCCTTGTGAAAACGAAATGGCGACGACAACAGCAGCGCGGGACATGGAGGTGAGGCTGGTCAACGGCATGGTGCTGAAGGTGCAAGTGGAGGAGATGGCGGGCGGCGTGGGGGAGCAAGTGACGGCGTTGGAGGCGAAGCTGAGGGAGCAGGGCGACGCCATGGCTGCCATGCAGCGCGACTTGGCCGACATGCGCCGCGCCATGGCCCTCCTCAAGGAGATGGCGGCGGCGAGCGCTTTGGCGGAGAAGGGGAGTAAAGGGAGTGCGTGGGGGGAGGCAGCGGAGGACATTTGCATGCAGCCGCTGAAGGGATCACGGGAGAATAAGCTTGCTGCGATTGAGGTGGAGGAGGTGAAGGCGAGGGTGGAAGCGGCGAGGGGGGAGGCGCGGGAAGCGGCGAGTGAGATGCGCGGGGAGATGGGCGCGCTGAAGGCGGAGCTTGCGCGGATGAGGGCTGCGGCGGAGCGGCAGGCGGCGGAGGTGGCGTACGTGAAAGCGACGGCGGCGCACTCGGAGGCGCGCATCAACGACGTCGAGCTGGCGCTCGCCGCGCGCAAGGACGGCAAGGCGGGCGGCGAAGGAGTGCATGCGGGGGCGGAGAGGCGCGAGGGGAAGAGGCGGAAGAGTAACGAGGTAGGGGACAAGGGGGGGATGGAAGACGCGCTGATTTCTAACGGTGGTGCGGTTGTAGAAAAGCGGGATGAGGCGGATAGGGATGGCGAAGCGAACGGGCGGGAGAATGGTGCAGCATGCGATACGGAGGCTAAGCTGCAGGGGATTAGGGCGCGAGTTGAAGCTCTGGAGAAAACGAGCGCTGGAGGAAGCAAGACGTGGGAGGTGAGCGCGCGGATGGTCCAAAGAATTTGTTTCTTTTATTTTGAGAATTCGGTTGGTTTTCGCACTAGCATCTGCGGTATGTATGGCACGTACGGCTGCGCGTGTAGCTGTTCGTTGCAAAGGACCTCGCGTAGACACCATATTCCTCTGCTACCAGCTGCTCTATAGAAATCACTTTTGAGAATTCTCAAAAGTCATCAATATAGCCAGTTTCTTTCCATGTTTCACCTTGCTGCTGTCGTGGCTGCAGGCGCTGATGACGCTTTGGAGCCAAGCAGTTCCAGGCGAGACTTTGATGGAGCTGAAAGGCATTCCTGTCCTCACCGATGCTGCTCTCACTGAAGTCGCCACCTTGTCCTCTCTAACCTCGCTCAACCTGAAAGACTCTTCCGGTTTCACTGAAGCGGGGTTGAGAGGGCTCTCCTGCCTCACGAGCCTGATTTATCTGAACTTGCGGGGTACAGCCATAACAGACGCGGCTCTTGAAGGCGTTGGGAGGCTGGAGAACCTTCAAGACCTTGTTCTTGATAAGACCAAGATAGGGGATGCAGGAATAGGGAAGCTGCAGTGGTTGCCTGCACTCAAGTCCCTGTTTATTGGTGACTGCGAGTCGGTCACATCTGCCAGCATGGTGCATGTGGGAAAAATGACATCACTGGAAAGCCTTGCACTCCATGGCAGTGGAGTGAGGGAGGACGGGTTGAGGCACTTGACTGCTCTCACCTTTCTGAAGCTCTTCACTCTGCCTCCAGAAGTGACCGATTCCGGCATGATGCACCTGAGGAATATGAAACACTTAGAGACGCTTGGGCTATGGAATGCTAAAATCACTTCCGTGGGTGTCAAGTGGCTTTGGGGGCTTAAGGGGCTCCAGAAGATTGCAGCAGATGCTAAAGATGTTCAAGAATTGATCAGGGATACGTTCCCTCAAATGATTGTGACACCGGGTCCACTCTGATTGTGGCTTTACCCTATGCCATGCCATGACTGTGTTTCGGGTTTGGGGAAGGAACAGGGAAAGATTGTGCAGCTCAGGCAAATCTTTGTTGAGGCCACCACCGGGTATTCGTTTGGGGGTTGCCGGATTTGCCAGACTTTATATGACCTACCCTCATGCTCCCCTCCCCCCCTCCCTCCGCCCCAACACATGGCACAGGGAGGGAGGTGGTGAGGGTGCACGGGGGGTTGGGTTGAAGGGGAATGCTGTCAAAGCTCAAGTGCTGGTTGCTACGTGCCAACGGGTGAGCCTGCCTGGATGGAATTAAGGAGGTTTATTCTTGTCCCTGCTTCGTCGGACGCCGCCATTTTAGATACCTTTGTGCGCAACGGAATAGTTGAATGTGAGTCGTGACAGTGACACTTGCTTTCAAACATTGAGATCACTAAGGATTAGCCTTGTCAAGGTACTACCTTAGTTGAATTGGAAAACACACTCACACACACTTGCTGGATTGTGGCTGGCAATCATTTTTGGGCCTTTTTATACAGAGCAAGACAACACTACCAGGTTCAGCTGTGACTGGTGGTGACACAATACAGTAAAACATTTTCATACACCACTAACAGTACATCACCCAGCCGCATCAGAATTCACCCCTCCTCCTAACATGGACTTGCTTTGCTTTTCAAAGTACGAAAGAGGGGCATTGACCAGCCTGTCCAGAAATTGCTCAAACTTGCTGTCACTTACTTGAATCAACGTGCTTAGACTGATTTCTGCAACGTTCGACCCACCCTCAAGCCCCTCCCTGTCCCTCTTCCCCACACCTGATAATGCGTCGTCTCTTTTGCTGTCTAAACGGCCAGCAGCAGCGCCACCCTTGCCCTCGCACACATCTCCTCCAACCCCACCACCATTGCTCTCCTCCTCTATAGCACCACTCCCACCATGACCACCACTCTCTCTCTCCCCATCAACCACACACCGAGGCAGGCACACAATCCCGCCACCTCTCTCCACCACCCTAATCCCCGCATCCCTCACCCGCTTTATCCTCGGTCTAATCCTTTGCTCCAAGCTATAACACGCCACCAGCGGCACCGCCACAACAGCCGCCTCCGACAGCCCCAGCTCGCGCCGAAAGAACTCCGCCTTGGGAGCAATGTTGCTCTTCCAGCTCAGGTGAAGCAGAGCAGGGTATCGCACGAAGAGGTGGGAGAGCTCCGAGGGGGTGAGCTGCGGGAGCAGCGCTTGCCAGTGGTTAAAATTCGAGAGCATTGTGGCGGAGTTGGTAGCGAGGATGCTGGAGCGTTTCTCGACCACCTGTTGGGCATTGACCGGCCCCCCGACGATCTCGCAGAGGGTGTGGAAGGTGGAGATCATCTTGCTGGCTGAGTGCGCTGGCAGCCGTCGGATCTGCCGGAAGACTTTCCGCGCGAGCGTTTCTGACCCTAGGATTGATTGGAAGGCGTCGAGCTTGGATTGGAGCTCCGAGATTGGCCGGGTGAGGATGTACGGCTGGCGCTGCACGATGGTGCTGACGTGGCCCTCGCCTGCCACCTGTGCGAGGAAATCTAATCTTTCCTGAACCCGTTCGGATGATAATTGCAGCAGACGTGGGCAGGCTTTAATAATGTATGACGTGTCCTTGATTCCCATGTCCAACAGCTTCTGGACACGTGGCTGCAGCTGAGTGGTCGGATCGAACGCGAAAGCGCGCGGAAATCTCCTCAGAACCGTCCCGATTCTCTCTCCGTCGGTCAGCCCGAGCTCGTTCAGGTAACGCACAACCTCCTTTTTTTTTTCCGCGGGCTGCCCGAGCCACACGGAATCGTACAGCGCGCCGAGCGCCATGTCGCGCGGAGGCACCCCGCACGCCAGCAGCGCGCGCACGCCCGGGAGGACCTTCTCCGCCATTCCGCTCCGCGCGAGCCCCGGGCGCGCGCGCAACACGCGGCGCACTTCGCGGTCGTCCATCCCCCACCCGCGGAAGAGTTCGAGCAGGTCGGCGGGGACTTTGTCGATCGAGACGACCCTCCTGGGCGACGACTGCGGGTCAAGCGACGTCGTCGCATCTGCGTCATGCGACGGATCGTGACTCGCGATCGGGTCGTCGCCTGTCGCTGACGTGGCTCGCCTCGTCCCCTGCGACGCGGGGCGGCTGTGCCATAACCTCCTGCCGCCTCCGCCGTCAACGGCTCTCTCGGCTACGAGCCGCGTCGGCCGCGCAACTAATACCGTCCCCACGGGACTAAGCCCGGCACCCCGCGTCTTGGCGAATGGGATCGGCGTCCGACTCGCGGAAATGTCGCGACTGGCGACAACGGACCGCCGCAAAGCACCCAACGAGGAGGAATGAACAGCATGACTTGCGGCACTCACATCCTTTGCAACAACCGCAGCACCCGCAACACTCGCATGTCTCGATTCGCTCGAATCGCGAACTGCAACCTTATCGGAAGCACAAGGTGAGGGCTGATAAGGCACGGTGGTAAACGTGGACGAAACGGCAGCACCGGGCGGGGAACGAGTGAGTAGGCAAGACAGCGGCGCGACTCGCGGCCGATCAAGGTGGGAGACGACAAGACGGTCCGCAGCGCTACGAGCTAATCGAATCAGGCCCTTTCGTCGCTCCATCGCCGTTGGTTTCAGCGTGCGATTAATCTAGCGGCTGTCAAAGGCGTGACATACATGAACGCGGCGCATTGAGCAAACTCTCCGCGATGTTCGCTAGGGAACGGTTTCTAGGAGCTTCAGAAAATCTGTTGAGTGTGGTGGAGTGGCACTGCGAAGAGCAAGGTCATTTTCGAGTTACCACCTGCGAAAAGCGGCTGTGTATGTGGTTCGTCAACTAAGCGGAGTTACCCGAATTTGAACTTCGTATGAGTTGAACTTCGTATTACTGTTTTATCTGCCTTACAGCCAATGACGAACGGTGCGTAGCACCAATAATCGTTGAGCATCTTGCCGCACCAGGAGAACGGGTCCCGCGGAACGACGCCACTCATGGAAAATTATTCCCCTCGCCGACCCTCTTCGACCCACAATTATCGTTACACCAAATTCGTTACCGTCGCCACTCGGTCCGTTCGCGAAGAGCTCGAAATTATTGCCATTCCGCAGCACTGGCCCAACTTACTGGCAAGAGGGGGAAATTGACATAGCGACTCGAAACCGCACTTTGCGCTGAACCCCCCAAGTCCCAACTCGCGAATCTCTCCCACTCGCGCAACTATATTTAGTCTGCTGCTTCTTCAACGTTTCATAATCGAAATTGACAGCTGCCCTCCAAGCATCCACAGTCTGATAATCAAGCTCGTTTTTTCCAACATTGGTTTACATACTTTGGTTAATTATATTCTCGCTGCACCTTTCCTCCGATGGCCCGCGTTTCCAAGGTCGCCAGCCTGTTGTGCGTGGGAATCGTCCTGATCGGCGCTTTCGCCCTCACTCCTGCCGACGCCGTTCGGGCTACCTCCGCCTACCTGAGCGGCGAAGGGACATGCTACCGCGACTTCCAAGATCGATTTCGCGACAGCCCTTATTTCGGCCTGGTTGCACAGGTGCCAGCGAGCAAGTTCGACAACAGCAAGGGCTGCGGAACGTGCTACGAAGTTTCCTGCACGGGCCGCGCATGCAAGGGCGGCTCCGTGACGGTGCGCGCGATCGGGCAGGCCGGCGAGAACTTCAACCTCGACACTCCCGCGTGGAACAAACTCGTCGGCGGCCAGGGCGGGTCAGTGGAGGTCACGTACGATCAGGTGGATTGCCCTAGCAGCACTGGAATGGCGGTGAGACTCGTCCCCGATGCTAGCCAGTACAATTTCGCGCTTCAGATTTTCGGAGCGGCGAGGCGCGGACGAGTGGAGAAGGTGGAGATATCGAAGGACGGCAGCGACTGGAAGAGCCTGACGAACAACGGATGGGGCGCGACGTGGGTGCTGAATCCCGCCACGGGCGTCGTGGATTCGGGGCGCGCGGTGAGCGTGCGCGTGACGGGCGGCGGGAAGCAGGTGGTGATGGACGGCGTGATTCCGAGCAAGTGGCGCGGCGGGGAGATCTACAAGAGCAGCAAAAACTTCTAGACGTTGTGGCGAGATGGGTTTGCACGCGAGGCGCGATGGTTGCTGCTAGTAACGGGATGCTCTGTAACGAGGTGTGGCGCACGCAGAGTGCTTGCGAATAAAGCAGCTACCGTGGCATAGTGGCCTGGCGTGCAAGGCAGCGAATAAAAGCCTGGGCAGCCCTGATGCAGGCGGGTCCATGGTCATCATAGGATCCACGGTGATGAGATGCGATGCGATGAGATGCGATGCGATAAGATGAGATGAGATGCTATGCGATGCGATGAGATGCTATGCGATGCGATGAGATGCGATGCGATAAGATGAGATGAGATGCTATGCGATGCGATGAGATGCTGGCAATGATCCCTCACCATGTCAGTGGTCAGTGTGATGCAGCTGCGTGCTCTCTATTTCCTTGCAATGTCATATTTTCAATAAAAACATTTATTTTCCTTAAAACCCCAAGGTCCACAGGTTTCAGAGTTGAGAATGATGAGTGCTTGCGCTTGTTGTGTACACGCACTTGGAAACTGTAAGCTTCGCCAAAAAAGCAGCACAGGATAACTATATACGAGTTCTCATAACATGAGACAGAACCTCTTCACTTCATACAACTGGTACATCATCCCATCCCAACCACATTCAATGTATCCGTCCAACTCTTTGGGCTGATGCAGCAGCTCCATTGAATCAGATGTAGCAGCAACCCAGACATATCGCATGCAGCAGCGGTCCAGCCTTATCAGTGGAGTGGGTGTAGCAGTCTAGTGAAACCAGCAGAAGCAGCAGCAGAAGCAGCAGAAACAATCCAGGAGCATGAGATGAGTCGCGTTCACTGTCAGTGGCGATCAGAGGCGGTCGGTCTCAGTGGCAAGGCGCCTGGCCTTGCTCTCCAGCACCTTCACTGCTTCCGTGAAGAGCACGTTGGGCGGCAGTGCTCCCGTGCTCTCCACTGAGACTGCGGGGGGGCAGAGGGGTGAAGGGGGGGTTGGGGGAGGGATGAGGCAAAGGGAGGGGGAGAGGAGGGGGCAGCAGTCCGGCAGCTTGACTGCCTCTGTGAAGAGCACGTTGGAAGGCAGTGCTCCCGTTCTCTCCACTGAGACTGCAGGGTGGGGAGAGGGAAGGAAACGGTAGGATGGAAAGGAAGAGGGGTGAGAGGTGGGAGAGGGGGCCGAGGGGGGTAAGGATGGAGAGAATGGAGGGGAGGATGGAAAGGAGAGGGAGAAGGGTAGCGTTTGGGTGCACTAGAGGAGCAGGTAACCATAAGAAGGGTGGATGACATGGTGAGGCATGGTGAGGCATGGTGAGGCACGGTAAGGCACGGTGAGGCACGGTAAGGCACGGTGAGGCACGGGAGGCATAAGGCGGCATATTCAATCAAACGTGAAAAGGAACACTGGAAAGGGCTGAAAAATATAAGCATGGCATCAGATCAGTGTTGATGCACGTGCATAAGATGTATTCGACGTATGTAGTTGGTAGAGTGGACAGAACCACAAATCGTCAGAGAATGGTAGCTGGAAGGATAGTACGACTAAGGAGAAGAAAAATGTAGTCACTTCACAAAAATTGGCAAGAGCAAAATCTGTGAGCAAATTCTCACATATGAAATGGTCGCGTTTTCGCCTGAGCTGAATGTAGTCGCCCCACCCCTCCTCCCTGATACACTCCCGACACACCGTGCAGTTGCGCGCACGTGGGGCCGTGGCCCTCTGGATGCCTGCACGCACCGCAATAGGTTGGGGCGCGGGGGAGAGTGGAACGGGGGAGAATGGGAGTGACGAGGGATGTATGGGGAGGGGATGAGGGAGAAGGAAAGAAAACAATGATCTACCTCATTGACTGGCATATGAACCATTAACCATAGATCATGCTTTTCAAATACACATAATGAAATGTGTGTGTTGCACGAAGCATGCAGGCAAGATGCATTCTTGCTAACCCCTCATCTCACCGTTGCCCATGTCCTTGACATCAAACATGGGGCACTATGGTCATGCACTCACCCATGTATCCACCCATCACATCATGCATACATGAACACCCCCACCCTCACCGTTGCCCATGTCCTCGACATCAAACATGGGGCACTATGCTTGTACGCCCACTGATTCACCCATCATGCAACCATCCACCCACCCATCCCCCATACCCCGTCCCCCATGCCCCATCCCCCACGCCCCATCCCTCATCGCTAAAACGCATGTCCTCTATTTTGAACACGTTCATGGGGCACTGCGGTCATGCAATACATGCACCCCCATCCCATCCTCACCGTTGCCCATGTCCTCGATACCAAACGCGTTCATGGGGCACTTTGGTGATTTCAATAAAGTGCATTCACCCACCACCCACCACCCACCACCCATCACCCATCCTCACCGTTGCCCATGTCCTCGATATCAAACACGTTCATGGGGCACTTTGCCACTAGCTGCTCCGCCATCTCCCCCTCCACTGCCTTGCGCAACACCACCTGCCATGGGGAAGGGGGAAGGGCAGGAGGAGGAACAGGGGGAGGGAAAGGGGGAGGGACAGAGGGAGGGACAGGGGGAGGGACAGGGGGAGACAGTGTGAGAGTGCAAGCAGGGGACTAGTGGTGTCTGCCCCTCCGCTGCCTTGCGCAACACCACCTGGGATGGTGGAGGGAAAGGGGCAGGGGGAGAATGTAGGAAATGCGGGGGGGTGGAGTGGGAAAGTGGGAAAGTGGGATTGGAGGGGCAGTGTGCGAGTGTGAGCATGCCCCTCCACTGCCTTGCGCAAAACCACCTGCCATGCGAAGAGTGAAAGGGGGAGGGCGGGAAAGCCAAAAGGTTATCCTTGGTCCCAGGCATCCGCCCTTTCTTTGGCCTCTCCTGCCAAGAGGTCTCTCCTGCCATCTGCCCCTCCACTGACTTGCGCATCCGCCCTTTCTTTGGCCTGCCAAGAAATGTGTGTGCGAGTGACTGAGTGAGTAAGAGCGAGTGAGACGAGCGTGAGTATGAGTGAAGGATGGGGTAGAACAGAGGCAAGGACTCACCTCTGGCAGCATGCGGTAGGACTCACCTCTGGCAGCATGCGGTGGGACTCACCTCTGGCAGCATGCGGTAGGACTCACCTCTGGCAGCATGCGGTGGGACTCACCTCTGGCAGCATGCGGTGGGACTCACCTCTGGCAGCATGCGGTGGGACTCACCTCTGGCAGCATGCGGTGGGACTCACCTCTGGCAGCATGCGGTGGGACTCACCTCTGGCAGCATGCGGTGGGACTCACCTCTGGCAGCATGCGGTGGGACTCACCTCTGGCAGCATGCGGTGGGACTCACCTCTGGCAGCATGCGGTGGGACTCACCTCTGGCAGCATGCGGTAAGAAGCAGTGGCAACAGGCGACCACTTGGCGTGAGTGCGGCCGATGCCCTTCACTGCATGCGCCTCCAACTCGATGGCCTGGTGGGAGGGCAAACAAACACACCAGTCGCCGCACATAAGGAACAACAGTGATAGATCCCCTTTAAGAATTCTTAGATTGAACTCAAGAAGAGGCAGCTGTGCTTCGCTCACTGCGAGCAATGCTACCTCCTCCCGGTATCTGCTTGCGGTGAATGAAGGTAAAGCAACGCTACCTTGCCCTTTGCAGTTCCCTGCATGCACCTCCAATGCAATGGCCTGGCGCGTGGAAGAGATGGGAGATGGAATGATGGACGCTCGTGTATGATAAGTGAGAAGCACAGGTGTATAACTCTTGTTACCAAGAGGGCACATTGCGTGTCACACATTGCGAATACACTGCACTGCAGTCAAAACCAGTGCGTCACACAATTGCACTATCCATCACTATCACACTCACCTGGCCCGGTCGTACGCGAGCGAGGTCGATGGCGGGGTAGGTGGGGGCGGGGGGGAGTGGGGAAGGGGCGAGTGTCACACATGGCAGGCACTGCACTGTCGCTCACATCTCTCGCACGCACTTCACTGCACTATAGTGCACTGCACTTCACTGCACTATAGTGCACTGCACTTCACTGCACTATAGTGCACTGCACTTCACTGCACTATAGTGCACTGCACTTCACTGCACTATATCGCCCCTTCACTGCACTATAGTGCACTGCACTGTCACGCACTATATCGCACACACCTGGCCTGGTCGCAGCCTAGCAAGGGTGATGTCGGGGTAGGTGGGGGCGGGGGGGCGAGTGTCACACACACTGCACTGCACCCCATTGCACTGCACTGCACTATCACACACACTGCACTGCACCCCATTGCACTGCACTGCACTATCACGCACACCTGTCCCGGTCGCAGCCTGGCGAGGGTGATGTCAGGGTAGGTGAGGGCGGGTGGCCGAGTGGCGAAGTCATGCAGCTCGCTCTGTGGGCGAGCAAAGGAGGTGAACTTGGTGGGACTTCACAGCACTGCACTGCACCGCACAGCACTGTTCCACACACCTGTCGCGCACACTCCCACATACCTGTCCCGGTCGCAGCCTGGCGAGGGTGATGTCAGGGTAGGTGAGGGCGGGGGGGCGAGTGGCGAAGTCATGCAGCTCGCTCTGTGGGCGACCAAAGGAGGTGAACTTGGTGGGGCGGTCGGGCGGGTAGGTGCTGCCGTTCGGCTGCCACACTAGATGCTTTGATTGCACCGTGCCTGGGGGTGAGATGGAGGGGAAGAGGGGAGGGGGACACAGGGCGATTGGGCAAGCAAGGGAAGGAGGTGAATTTGGTGGGGCGGTCGGGCGGGTAGGTGCTGCCGTTGGGCTGCCACACCAGATGATTTGATTGTACCGTGCCTGCATGTGGGGGGGAGGGGGGAGGGGCGTGATGCGAGGGAAGGGAGATCAATGGGAAGGAGGTGCTACGGAGGGAGTTCAAAGAGAGATAAGAGACAAGGAATGGATGGAATGAGGCGGATGGAGAGAACTGGGTGGCGTTCCGAATTGGTAGAAGAAAAGGCCGGAAGGGAGGGCTTGCTGCATATGATGGGGGGCGTGGCTGCATATGATGGGGGGCGTGGCTAAACAAAAGACGACGGAGGGGGGAAGCGAACAGGGAACGTTGAGAGGGGGCAAAGGGAGCAAGAACCCAAGGGAGGTGGTCGAACGAACGGAGCATACAGAGTAAGTGGTGATGCGGAAAGGGATGGAGTGTGCCGTGCCACACACACCCCACTGCATGGTCCTGTCACAGCGTTCAGTTCAGCACGTACCATGTTTAGAGCCGTCAGCAGGGGGGTTGCGAGTGCACTTGTAGTCGAGCTTGAAGACGATGGTGTTGCTCTCACTCGCCATGCCGTCCTCTGTTGCCACATGCCATGCCATTACCATTGCAGCGTGTGATGCGATGCGATGAGATGCGATGCGATGCGATGCGATGCGACGCGCGATGTGGCATGAGGCAATGACAGACAGACATGCAAGATGAGATGGAGATTCGCAATGAAACTCGTTGTGTTACTACGGGAAGACAAGTACTTACGTGCAGCGCACTAGCAAACCGCAAGACCCTCGCAACTCTCCCCATCACCACTGAGCCTGCCCATCACCACTGAGCCTGCCCATCACCACTGAGCCTTCCCAGGGCTCCTACCTGAAACTTCAAATGAGGGGTGTAACTGAAAACTACATGAAACCACCTGAGACAAGCCTGGAAACCCACCTGGGAATCACCTGAAAGGCCACCTGGTGGGAATGACCTGAGGGGAAGTCGAAGAGGCGGGGGTCGACGGCGATGGGCACGAGGCCGAGGCGGTGGGAGAGCACCTCGTCCTGCACCAGGGAGGTGTTGTTGGCCATAAACACCTTCTCTATCGCCATTGTGGGTACCTGAGGGGATGGGCAATGAGGGATTAAGAAGTGGAAGGCGATGGGCACGAGGCCGAGGCGATGGGAAAGTACTTCGTCCTGCACTAGAGAGGTGTTGTTCGCCATAAACACCTTCTCTATCGCCATCGTTGGTACCTGTGGGGGGAGTGAAGGAGGAAAGGGAGGGAGTGGGTTGGTTCGAGCAACACACAGGGCAACTTAAGCTCGTCCTGCACGAGAGAGGTGTTGTTTGCCATGAACACCTTCTCTATCGCCATCGTGGGTACCTGGAGAGGGGGGGGAAAGGAAGGGAGGAAGGAGAAAGGAAGAGGGAGGAGGGAGGCGGTGTGAAGAGCAGCACACAGGCGAAGCAAACCTTAGAGTTTCTTCAACATACCCTCTTCTCTGGCTTTTTATTTAGTCTCACACCCATCTCAATAAATGCAGAGCCATGCACGTATGGACCTCAGCAATGCTGCTGCGCTGAGGTCAGCATATGGAGGCAAGGTGTCATTCTGTGGCTGTAGCCTCCGTATGCTGCTGGCCTCAGTGATCAGCATGCTGACCTCAGCAATGACCCGTGCTAACCTCAGCAACAAGCGTGCTGACCTCAGCGATGAGTATCCGGCGGAAGGCGTTGGCGAGAGCAGCGTCAATGCCGACGAGGTCAAAGACGAGATCGTGGCCGTCCGCTGACTGCGACACGATCTCCACCGTCAGTTCCCGTCTGAAGCGCTCCAGAGTCATGCTGTTGTCCACTCCCAATGCGGCGAACGCACCCGAATATTGCAGCGCGTGCGTCTGCATTGAAGGGGCGGGGGAGGGAGGGGAGGAGAGGTGCGAGGTGGATAAGCCTGTTAGACGACACTTTAGTCCGCTGCAGCCTGCAGCCTGCAGGGTCGTGCATCCATTCCCAGCGCCGCGAAGGCGCCTGAATACTGCAGCGCGTGGGTGTGCAGTGCGAGAGGGGGCTAGGAAAGGTGGTGCGGAGGGGACAACATGGAGGAAACGAAGAGCGTGGGGGGATGGGGGAGAGAGAGCGGGAGGAGAAGCAAAGTGGATTAAACTTCAGAATGCAGGCTGCAGGGTCATGCTGCTCCCACCCAGCGCAGAGAATGCACGCGATTACTGTAGTGCTTGGGCTTGCGTTGGTAAGGGGGAAGGGAGGCGAGAAGGGGTGCGGTGCGGAGGAGAAAGGGGCTGTGGAGAGAGTGGGAAAGGGCCGAGAGGAAGGGGAGAAGGAGGAAAGGCATAGGCAGGAGGCGGAGGGGCGAGCGAGGGAGTCCGCTTGGAGAGCACTCCGTTGCTGCGAGCGCGGCTGAGAGCGCCTCAATTCTCCCCACGCTCATGCCAACACAACACACCCCTCCGTTCCCTCTTAGAACTCTTGACATTGACAATCCAGAGCAAACTCACACACCCCACACTGCGGTGCGGTGATGAGCACACTGCAGGCTGCTGCAGCTGCACATGCCTCCCCCCCCCCCCACACCAGCAAGCAATGCTCACCTCCAGTCCAGCGCGCCCCCAACCCTCTGTGCCATCTCGCCTGCCCGCCGCGCAGCAGTGCCAAACCCAAAACCCTGACAGGAAACAGAAACCCAGAAACCCTTACCCAGGGCAGAAACCCTGAATCCTCTGATCCTGCTCTGGAACCTTAAACCTTCCAAGGAATCCCGAGAACATATGAGCTTTTCCCGAACCGTCTCAATCTCCCGCAAAGCCCCTTCCCCGTTTCTCGTCAGTGCGCTTCACAACTGTCTGTCTCACGCGCGCTTCTCTCCCTCTTCCGCGCAACCACTGCGCCTTCCGCGCAACTCTTCCCCCCTCGTCCCCGCCCATCAACCCTCCGCCGCGCACCTGTTTGGGCGCGTCCATGTCGCAGATCACGCGCGAGCGCAGCTCCTCCAGGTGCGGCGGAAGGCTTCCGCTCCCCCCTTCCCCCTGCTGCGCCTTCTTCTTCTTCTTCCCCTTCCGCGCCTCCTGCGCGCCGCTCCCCGCGTCCGCGCTGCTCGTTTCCATCGGCTCCGCCGCGGGCGCGTCGACGTCCTTCCCCGGCATCGCTCCGCTAGAGCGCGCAAGAGGGGAACCGGGTGAGGGGAGGGGGGGGAGGGAAGACTAGCGCGGGGGGGGGAAAGGGGGTGGAGAGGTTCTAGCGAGTGCGAAAGCCTGCGCGGAGACGGGAGGCGGAAAGGGTGCTTGCAGCGGAGAAGGATACCGGCGGTCGGAGCGGACCCGCTCTTAATACCAAAAAGGCACAGCTCCTGAGATCGTGCTGGAGGAAATGCCGTTTGAACTACGTCGGAGAAGGATTGCGCTGTTGAAATCAAGACGGCACAGCTCTGCCACGCAGTGAGTACAATGGCAAATACTGTGGGACCGAGTTTCAAAGAACCTGAATGGCTCGGCGAGCAAGGGGGGTGTGGAAATGGCGAGGTCGCGTTCGACTGCAAAATCCGAACTTCAGGTTTCCAGCATTTCGTGGCATCATCTGTTGTTTCGTGGGCTTCCAATCCAACCCGCCAGATTTCAAAATTCGAACCAGGAGCGGTTCTGGTTTCGCAGGGATTCTTCTTTTCTGCCCTCCCTATGTTACCAACGAGATTGGAGAGACGTGACTGGTCGTAAAACTGAAATCCACGTCAGCGTAAACTGAACCAAACCGAACCCAAGACATGTTGCGGAGTTCGTTGTTTCGCGAGAGCGTCATTGAAAGTGCCTGAAGCAGATTTTCCTCCCACCAGACCACCTCCCAGTTGCTTGAGGCGTCAATGGTGTGTGAAACACACGGCGCGTGAGACGCGGTAGGAATGACCTTTGTCTCTTCAGATGTCTTCAGTAGAAGGTCTCTTGACGCTTGGCAATGCGCTGTCAGATTTGTGATTATTATGGTCGAGCCATTTAGCTGTTCGAATAAAATTCCACGGAGACGCGCCGAGTAGAAGCTGCTGCTGTGATTCGCCACCCAACGGATGTAGCTTGGAAATCGCCAATCGCCACACTCGCCAGCAGTCGCAAACAATCGCCAACAATCTCCAGTAGTCGCCAACTGTCGCCAACAGTCGCCAGTGGTTCTTATGGCGGCCAACTTCTGGCAGTCCTCCCACAGGTGCGACGTCCGTGCGACATCGCAGGCATGGGCGACATGACATCGCATAACATGCGCGACACGACGTCGCCGCAGTGGCGCGGCTGCTGCATGCGGAGGACGACCGCATGGGCCTCTGATTCCCATTCCCACCACCCGGGTCCCCCCCTCCCCCTTCTCCCTCCTCCCAGCAAGCAGCTACTGGACCCGGGAGCAGTGGCGCGGCTGCTGCATGCGGAGGACGACCGCATGGGCCTCTCGCCCTCAGACGTGCGCCTGGTCAAGCTGCACATGTGTGACCGTAAGACGGCCATCTCTTACTGCCCTTGTGCCCTTATTCCTCTTATCGCACGTCTTGCCCTTATTCCTCTTATTGCTCTATGCTGCATGGGCCTCTCGCCCTCAGACGTGCGCCTTGTCAAGCTGCACATGTGTGACCGTACGTCTGTAATATCCCATGCACATGCCTGCATGCTTTCGAGCAATCATGAGTTTCTGATGTTTGTTTGCGTCCATCTCACTCCAGCTGTTCTTCATTCCTTCGTTCCTTCCATTCCTCTCCCTTCCCTTCCCCCCTGTCTCCTTTCCCCGTTCGTCTGTTCGTCTCTCATTGACAGACCTGGCAGTCTTGGCTCACCGCCTCAACCTCCGCCAGAGGCAAGCGCACCACCTCCCTCCACCTCCCACCTCCTCGCACCACCTCGCGCCGAATTGCTCACACTTTCACCACGTCGTTGCTGCGTTCACTGTGCCTTGTGCCGGTCCCCGGGAGAGAGCATGGGTGACTGTGTGCCACTGTCTCATGCTGTCACCATCACCCATCGCCGACCCTCACACCTCTCGCCCCCTGTCAATCGCCCATCCCAACCTCACTCCCTCCCCACCTCACTCCCTCCCCACCTCACTCCCTCCCCACCTCACTCCCTCTCCACTCACGCCCTCCCCACCTCCCTTGTTGCCTGGCAGGGTTGTGGCGACCGCCATTGCCTACTTCCGCCGCGTCTATGTCAAGTGAGCCGTGTGACTTGCGCGCTTCATGATGGAACGATGGGATGATGGGGGGTGATGGGGTGATGGGATGATGATGGTGTGATGCTGTGATGGGATGGTGGTGTAATGATGGTGTGTGTAATGATGGGATGATGATGGTGTGATGTGGGATGATGGGGTGATGGGGTGATGATTGCGTGACAGGTGGTGGGACAAGGGGACCAACCACTCCCCCCCTGCACCCCATTCCCCCTCCTTATCCCTGCAACAAGAATGTCACTTGCTGAAAGTATCTTGAATGCTGGCTACTCTTCTCCCCCGCCCCATCTCTTCACTCCTCGTTTCTCCTCTCCCCTGTGAGCAGGAAGTCGTTTGCGGAGGTGGATCCGCGGCTGGCAGCGCCGGCAGCGGCACTCGATACCAACACGCCCCCCTCCCACGCCCCCCTCCCACGCCCCCCTCCCACGCCCCCCTCCCCCCCCCTGTGAGCAGGAAGTCGTTCGCAGAGGTGGACCCGCGGTTGGCAGCACCGGCAGCGGCAGCCAAAGCGGAGGAGTGCACGGTGCAGGCTGTGAAGCTGGTGCACCGCATGAAGAGCCACGCCTGTGAGATGAGAGAGAGGCATTCTTGTGAGATATGAGAGGGCATTGGGGCTTACGACATAAGAGAGCACAAGGGGGGCAGCACCGGCAGCGCTGTACGTGGCAGCCAAGGCGGAGGAATGCACTGCACCGTGCAGGCTGTGAAGCTGGTGCACCGTGCAGGCTGTGAAGCTGGTGCACCGCATGAAGAGCCATGCTTGTGAGATGAGAGCAGAGAGGCACGTGTGTGTGTGTGTGAGACAGGGAGGATGTGGGATAGGCCTGCACGGCTGTTCTGTGCATATCATGTCATGCTCTTTGCAACTAGGATTCTTGAAATAAGTCATGGCTGTTCAGAAATTGGCATGTGTGCATGCGGTGCCATCTGTTGCATGTGTTGCATGTAAGTGGTGGATGTATGTGCATCTGTCTGTATGCGTCTGCTTGCATATGCGCATATGTGGATGCATGGGTGCGTGTGCAACAGGCATGTGCAGGCATGGCGCAATGGGCTATGAGGTGAAGGACATACTGGAAACGGAGATGTGACTGGCATCTGCAGCTGCTGCTGTAGATGGTGAATAAATTGCTGCTTGTGTGTGTGTGTGTGTGTGTGCATGTGTGATGCATGTCTCCAACAGGCATGTGCGGCCATGGAGCCATGGGGTACGAGGTGAAGGACGTACTAGCCATGGAGATGCGCCTGCTGCTGTTGATGTTTGATAACTTGCAACCTCTATGCGTGTGTACGTGCGTGCATGCACAACAGGCATGTGTGGGCATGGAGCCATGGGGTACGAGGTGAAGGACATACTGGCAATGGAGATGCGCCTGCTGCAGGCGCTCTCCTTCAACCTCATCGTCTTCCACCCCTACCGCCCGCTCTCCACGTCCGTTGCTCCCCACCCGTATTTCACCGTCGCTCCTTGCAACGCCATCGTCTGTTTACCACCACCCCTCCACCCCTCCTTGCACCTTCCCTCTCCTTCAACCTCATCGTCTTCCACCCCTACCGCCCCCTCTCCACGTCTGTATCCCTCCACCTTTGATCACTCTCGAAAGTGATTCAACCGCCCCTACATCGTTTCTCTTCTCCTTCTCATGCACCCCTCGTCCTTATACCCTGACTTTCTCCTTCGCTCTGCTCTCTGCTCTGCTCTCTCTCCCTCGTTTCTCGTCCCCCCCCTCCGTTTTCCGTCTGCTGGCGCCCCACCCTTTCCCGTCACTCCCGTCCCATCCAAGTACTTGCCATGTGAAGAACACCCGCGCCCCATCCTTGGCAAGTACATGAGAGTCCTTTTTCGTGTCTGTTCCTCCGCTCAAATGTCAAGCACATGGGGCGTGGGTGCTGTTCTCATTCTCATGGCAGGTACTTGGAAGACGTCGGCAGGGCGCTCAGCCTCTCTCCCAATGTGAAGGAGGACTTTGCTCAGATGGCCTGGTGGGTGCCACAGCCGTGTGCTGTGTGAGTGTGAGTGTGAGTGTGAGTGTGAGTGCGTGCGCATGTGGGAGTGCGTGAGTGTCTGTGTGTGTGATGTGCATTAGCATGAGCAGAGCACTCAGCCTCTCTCCCAATGTGAAGGAGGACATTGCACAGATGGCCTGGTGGGTGCCACTGTGTGTGTGCGTGAGAGAATGCGTGTGCAGGTGGGAGTGCGGGAGTGCCTATGTGTGATGTGCTTTAGCATGAGCAGAGTGCTATACCTCTCCCAATGTGAAGGAGGACTTTGCTCAGATGGCCGGGTGGGTGCCACTGTGTGTGTGCGTGAGAGAATGCGTGTGCAGGTGGGAGTGCGGGAGTGCCTATGTGTGATGTGCTTTAGCATGAGCAGAGTGCTATACCTCTCCCAATGTGAAGGAGGACTTTGCTCAGATGGCCTGGTGGGTGCCACTGTGTGTGTGCGTGAGAGAATGCGTGTGCAGGTGGGAGTGCGGGAGTGCCTATGTGTGATGTGCTTTAGCATGAGCAGAGTGCTATACCTCTCCCAATGTGAAGGAGGACTTTGCTCAGATGGCCTGGTGGGTGAATCTGTGTGCGTGAGTGAGTGCGTGCACGCTTGCATGGGTGCCGCACAGATGGCCTGGTGGGTGCCATAGCCGTGCGCGTGTGAGTGCACGTGTGTGTGTGAGTGTCTGTGTGTGATGTGATGTGCTTGAGACGACTTATGAGGCGCCTCAAACGTCTGTGTGTTGTGTGATGTGCTTGAGCACGAGTACGTGCGAGTGTGAGTGTGAGTGTACGTGCGAGTGTGAGTGTACGTGTGAGTGTGAGTGCACGTGCGCGTGTGAGTGTACGTGTGAGTGTGAGTGCACGTGCGCGTGTGAGTGCACGTGCGCGTGTGAGTGCACGTGCGCGTGTGAGTGCACTTGCGCGTGTGAGTGCACGTGCGCGTGTGAGTGTCTGTGTGTTATGTGATGTGATGTGCTTGAGCACAGCACGTGCTCGTCAAGTTTGTGCCTGTGGATCACCACCACCTCTTCTCCCTGCCCCTTGCCAACCCCATCATGCCCCCACACCTTCTTGCTTCCACCCCGCATTGTCGCCATGCCTCCATGCACGCGCGACTCTCAAACGAAACCCCCCCACCCACTTACTTTCCCCCTGCTCCCCCTACCCGCAGGTCAATGGTGAACGACTCATTCAAGACGGACCTATCGCTGTGCCACCCGCCGTTCATCCTCGCCCTTGCATGCATCCACCTCGTTGCCCTCATGCGCCACCTGCCGCTTCTGCCCTGGCTGGAAGGGCTGCGCGTCGACATGCACCGGGTAGGGTGGAGGTGCACTGGGGGGCTTAGAGACTAGGTGCCAGGGGCATTGCAGGGCTCTCATGCGCCACCTGCCACTCCTGCCCTGGCTGGAAGGACTCCGCGTCGACATGCACCGGGTAAGGGTTCTGCACTGAATTGCCCTTTCGGGTTGGGGGCTCAGGCACTGAATGCATATCATGCATGGGTGCAGTGCAGTGGTATCACTGGTGGGTGTGCGTTGGAGGGCCGCCATGCGCCACCTGCTGCTCCTGCCCTGGCTTGAAGGGCTGCGCGTTGGTATGCACGGGGTAGGGTGATGGGGCTTAGGTGTGCGCCGTAGGGGCTCAGGGCTTAGGCATCAGTGGTATCACTGGCATCAGTGGTATCACTGGCATCAGTGGTATCACTGGCATCAGTGGTATCACTGGCATCAGTGGTATCACTGGCATCAGTGGTATCACTGGCATCAGTGGTATCACTGGCATCAGTGGTATCACTGGCATCAGTGGTATCACTGGCATCAGTGGTATCACTGGCATCAGTGGTATCACTGGCATCAGTGGTATCACTGGCATCAGTGGTATCACTGGCATCAGTGGTATCACTGGCATCAGTGGTATCACTGGCATCAGTGGTATCACTGGCATCAGTGGTATCACTGGCATCAGTGGTATCACTGGCATCAGTGGTATCACTGGCATCAGTGGTATCACTGGCATCAGTGGTATCACTGGCATCAGTGGTATCACTGGCATCAGTGGTATCACTGGCATCAGTGGTATCACTGGCATCAGTGGTATCACTGGCATCAGTGGTATCACTGGCATCAGTGGTATCACTGGCATCAGTGGTATCACTGGCATCAGTGGTATCACTGGCATCAGTGGTATCACTGGCATCAGTGGTATCACTGGCATCAGTGGTATCACTGGCATCAGTGGTATCACTGGCATCAGTGGTATCACTGGCATCAGTGGTATCACTGGCATCAGTGGTATCACTGGCATCAGTGGTATCACTGGCATCAGTGGTATCACTGGCATCAGTGGTATCACTGGCATCAGTGGTATCACTGGCATCAGTGGTATCACTGGCATCAGTGGTATCACTGGCATCAGTGGTATCACTGGCATCAGTGGTATCACTGGCATCAGTGGTATCACTGGCATCAGTGGTATCACTGGCATCAGTGGTATCACTGGCATCAGTGGTATCACTGGCATCAGTGGTATCACTGGCATCAGTGGTATCACTGGCATCAGTGGTATCACTGGCATCAGTGGTATCACTGGCATCAGTGGTATCACTGGCATCAGTGGTATCACTGGCATCAGTGGTATCACTGGCATCAGTGGTATCACTGGCATCAGTGGTATCACTGGCATCAGTGGTATCACTGGCATCAGTGGTATCACTGGCATCAGTGGTATCACTGGCATCAGTGGTATCACTGGCATCAGTGGTATCACTGGCATCAGTGGTATCACTGGCATCAGTGGTATCACTGGCATCAGTGGTATCACTGGCATCAGTGGTATCACTGGCATCAGTGGTATCACTGGCATCAGTGGTATCACTGGCATCAGTGGTATCACTGGCATCAGTGGTATCACTGGCATCAGTGGTATCACTGGCATCAGTGGTATCACTGGCATCAGTGGTATCACTGGCATCAGTGGTATCACTGGCATCAGTGGTATCACTGGCATCAGTGGTATCACTGGCATCAGTGGTATCACTGGCATCAGTGGTATCACTGGCATCAGTGGTATCACTGGCATCAGTGGTATCACTGGCATCAGTGGTATCACTGGCATCAGTGGTATCACTGGCATCAGTGGTATCACTGGCATCAGTGGTATCACTGGCATCAGTGGTATCACTGGCATCAGTGGTATCACTGGCATCAGTGGTATCACTGGCATCAGTGGTATCACTGGCATCAGTGGTATCACTGGCATCAGTGGTATCACTGGCATCAGTGGTATCACTGGCATCAGTGGTATCACTGGCATCAGTGGTATCACTGGCATCAGTGGTATCACTGGCATCAGTGGTATCACTGGCATCAGTGGTATCACTGGCATCAGTGGTATCACTGGCATCAGTGGTATCACTGGCATCAGTGGTATCACTGGCATCAGTGGTATCACTGGCATCAGTGGTATCACTGGCATCAGTGGTATCACTGGCATCAGTGGTATCACTGGCATCAGTGGTATCACTGGCATCAGTGGTATCACTGGCATCAGTGGTATCACTGGCATCAGTGGTATCACTGGCATCAGTGGTATCACTGGCATCAGTGGTATCACTGGCATCAGTGGTATCACTGGCATCAGTGGTATCACTGGCATCAGTGGTATCACTGGCATCAGTGGTATCACTGGCATCAGTGGTATCACTGGCATCAGTGGTATCACTGGCATCAGTGGTATCACTGGCATCAGTGGTATCACTGGCATCAGTGGTATCACTGGCATCAGTGGTATCACTGGCATCAGTGGTATCACTGGCATCAGTGGTATCACTGGCATCAGTGGTATCACTGGCATCAGTGGTATCACTGGCATCAGTGGTATCACTGGCATCAGTGGTATCACTGGCATCAGTGGTATCACTGGCATCAGTGGTATCACTGGCATCAGTGGTATCACTGGCATCAGTGGTATCACTGGCATCAGTGGTATCACTGGCATCAGTGGTATCACTGGCATCAGTGGTATCACTGGCATCAGTGGTATCACTGGCATCAGTGGTATCACTGGCATCAGTGGTATCACTGGCATCAGTGGTATCACTGGCATCAGTGGTATCACTGGCATCAGTGGTATCACTGGCATCAGTGGTATCACTGGCATCAGTGGTATCACTGGCATCAGTGGTATCACTGGCATCAGTGGTATCACTGGCATCAGTGGTATCACTGGCATCAGTGGTATCACTGGCATCAGTGGTATCACTGGCATCAGTGGTATCACTGGCATCAGTGGTATCACTGGCATCAGTGGTATCACTGGCATCAGTGGTATCACTGGCATCAGTGGTATCACTGGCATCAGTTGGTATCACTGGCATCAGTGGTATCACTGGCATCAGTGGTATCACTGGCATCAGTGGTATCACTGGCATCAGTGGTATCACTGGCATCAGTGGTATCACTGGCATCAGTGGTATCACTGGCATCAGTGGTATCACTGGCATCAGTGGTATCACTGGCATCAGTGGTATCACTGGCATCAGTGGTATCACTGGCATCAGTGGTATCACTGGCATCAGTGGTATCACTGGCATCAGTGGTATCACTGGCATCAGTGGTATCACTGGCATCAGTGGTATCACTGGCATCAGTGGTATCACTGGCATCAGTGGTATCACTGGCATCAGTGGTATCACTGGCATCAGTGGTATCACTGGCATCAGTGGTATCACTGGCATCAGTGGTATCACTGGCATCAGTGGTATCACTGGCATCAGTGGTATCACTGGCATCAGTGGTATCACTGGCATCAGTGGTATCACTGGCATCAGTGGTATCACTGGCATCAGTGGTATCACTGGCATCAGTGGTATCACTGGCATCAGTGGTATCACTGGCATCAGTGGTATCACTGGCATCAGTGGTATCACTGGCATCAGTGGTATCACTGGCATCAGTGGTATCACTGGCATCAGTGGTATCACTGGCATCAGTGGTATCACTGGCATCAGTGGTATCACTGGCATCAGTGGTATCACTGGCATCAGTGGTATCACTGGCATCAGTGGTATCACTGGCATCAGTGGTATCACTGGCATCAGTGGTATCACTGGCATCAGTGGTATCACTGGCATCAGTGGTATCACTGGCATCAGTGGTATCACTGGCATCAGTGGTATCACTGGCATCAGTGGTATCACTGGCATCAGTGGTATCACTGGCATCAGTGGTATCACTGGCATCAGTGGTATCACTGGCATCAGTGGTATCACTGGCATCAGTGGTATCACTGGCATCAGTGGTATCACTGGCATCAGTGGTATCACTGGCATCAGTGGTATCACTGGCATCAGTGGTATCACTGGCATCAGTGGTATCACTGGCATCAGTGGTATCACTGGCATCAGTGGTATCACTGGCATCAGTGGTATCACTGGCATCAGTGGTATCACTGGCATCAGTGGTATCACTGGCATCAGTGGTATCACTGGCATCAGTGGTATCACTGGCATCAGTGGTATCACTGGCATCAGTGGTATCACTGGCATCAGTGGTATCACTGGCATCAGTGGTATCACTGGCATCAGTGGTATCACTGGCATCAGTGGTATCACTGGCATCAGTGGTATCACTGGCATCAGTGGTATCACTGGCATCAGTGGTATCACTGGCATCAGTGGTATCACTGGCATCAGTGGTATCACTGGCATCAGTGGTATCACTGGCATCAGTGGTATCACTGGCATCAGTGGTATCACTGGCATCAGTGGTATCACTGGCATCAGTGGTATCACTGGCATCAGTGGTATCACTGGCATCAGTGGTATCACTGGCATCAGTGGTATCACTGGCATCAGTGGTATCACTGGCATCAGTGGTATCACTGGCATCAGTGGTATCACTGGCATCAGTGGTATCACTGGCATCAGTGGTATCACTGGCATCAGTGGTATCACTGGCATCAGTGGTATCACTGGCATCAGTGGTATCACTGGCATCAGTGGTATCACTGGCATCAGTGGTATCACTGGCATCAGTGGTATCACTGGCATCAGTGGTATCACTGGCATCAGTGGTATCACTGGCATCAGTGGTATCACTGGCATCAGTGGTATCACTGGCATCAGTGGTATCACTGGCATCAGTGGTATCACTGGCATCAGTGGTATCACTGGCATCAGTGGTATCACTGGCATCAGTGGTATCACTGGCATCAGTGGTATCACTGGCATCAGTGGTATCACTGGCATCAGTGGTATCACTGGCATCAGTGGTATCACTGGCATCAGTGGTATCACTGGCATCAGTGGTATCACTGGCATCAGTGGTATCACTGGCATCAGTGGTATCACTGGCATCAGTGGTATCACTGGCATCAGTGGTATCACTGGCATCAGTGGTATCACTGGCATCAGTGGTATCACTGGCATCAGTGGTATCACTGGCATCAGTGGTATCACTGGCATCAGTGGTATCACTGGCATCAGTGGTATCACTGGCATCAGTGGTATCACTGGCATCAGTGGTATCACTGGCATCAGTGGTATCACTGGCATCAGTGGTATCACTGGCATCAGTGGTATCACTGGCATCAGTGGTATCACTGGCATCAGTGGTATCACTGGCATCAGTGGTATCACTGGCATCAGTGGTATCACTGGCATCAGTGGTATCACTGGCATCAGTGGTATCACTGGCATCAGTGGTATCACTGGCATCAGTGGTATCACTGGCATCAGTGGTATCACTGGCATCAGTGGTATCACTGGCATCAGTGGTATCACTGGCATCAGTGGTATCACTGGCATCAGTGGTATCACTGGCATCAGTGGTATCACTGGCATCAGTGGTATCACTGGCATCAGTGGTATCACTGGCATCAGTGGTATCACTGGCATCAGTGGTATCACTGGCATCAGTGGTATCACTGGCATCAGTGGTATCACTGGCATCAGTGGTATCACTGGCATCAGTGGTATCACTGGCATCAGTGGTATCACTGGCATCAGTGGTATCACTGGCATCAGTGGTATCACTGGCATCAGTGGTATCACTGGCATCAGTGGTATCACTGGCATCAGTGGTATCACTGGCATCAGTGGTATCACTGGCATCAGTGGTATCACTGGCATCAGTGGTATCACTGGCATCAGTGGTATCACTGGCATCAGTGGTATCACTGGCATCAGTGGTATCACTGGCATCAGTGGTATCACTGGCATCAGTGGTATCACTGGCATCAGTGGTATCACTGGCATCAGTGGTATCACTGGCATCAGTGGTATCACTGGCATCAGTGGTATCACTGGCATCAGTGGTATCACTGGCATCAGTGGTATCACTGGCATCAGTGGTATCACTGGCATCAGTGGTATCACTGGCATCAGTGGTATCACTGGCATCAGTGGTATCACTGGCATCAGTGGTATCACTGGCATCAGTGGTATCACTGGCATCAGTGGTATCACTGGCATCAGTGGTATCACTGGCATCAGTGGTATCACTGGCATCAGTGGTATCACTGGCATCAGTGGTATCACTGGCATCAGTGGTATCACTGGCATCAGTGGTATCACTGGCATCAGTGGTATCACTGGCATCAGTGGTATCACTGGCATCAGTGGTATCACTGGCATCAGTGGTATCACTGGCATCAGTGGTATCACTGGCATCAGTGGTATCACTGGCATCAGTGGTATCACTGGCATCAGTGGTATCACTGGCATCAGTGGTATCACTGGCATCAGTGGTATCACTGGCATCAGTGGTATCACTGGCATCAGTGGTATCACTGGCATCAGTGGTATCACTGGCATCAGTGGTATCACTGGCATCAGTGGTATCACTGGCATCAGTGGTATCACTGGCATCAGTGGTATCACTGGCATCAGTGGTATCACTGGCATCAGTGGTATCACTGGCATCAGTGGTATCACTGGCATCAGTGGTATCACTGGCATCAGTGGTATCACTGGCATCAGTGGTATCACTGGCATCAGTGGTATCACTGGCATCAGTGGTATCACTGGCATCAGTGGTATCACTGGCATCAGTGGTATCACTGGCATCAGTGGTATCACTGGCATCAGTGGTATCACTGGCATCAGTGGTATCACTGGCATCAGTGGTATCACTGGCATCAGTGGTATCACTGGCATCAGTGGTATCACTGGCATCAGTGGTATCACTGGCATCAGTGGTATCACTGGCATCAGTGGTATCACTGGCATCAGTGGTATCACTGGCATCAGTGGTATCACTGGCATCAGTGGTATCACTGGCATCAGTGGTATCACTGGCATCAGTGGTATCACTGGCATCAGTGGTATCACTGGCATCAGTGGTATCACTGGCATCAGTGGTATCACTGGCATCAGTGGTATCACTGGCATCAGTGGTATCACTGGCATCAGTGGTATCACTGGCATCAGTGGTATCACTGGCATCAGTGGTATCACTGGCATCAGTGGTATCACTGGCATCAGTGGTATCACTGGCATCAGTGGTATCACTGGCATCAGTGGTATCACTGGCATCAGTGGTATCACTGGCATCAGTGGTATCACTGGCATCAGTGGTATCACTGGCATCAGTGGTATCACTGGCATCAGTGGTATCACTGGCATCAGTGGTATCACTGGCATCAGTGGTATCACTGGCATCAGTGGTATCACTGGCATCAGTGGTATCACTGGCATCAGTGGTATCACTGGCATCAGTGGTATCACTGGCATCAGTGGTATCACTGGCATCAGTGGTATCACTGGCATCAGTGGTATCACTGGCATCAGTGGTATCACTGGCATCAGTGGTATCACTGGCATCAGTGGTATCACTGGCATCAGTGGTATCACTGGCATCAGTGGTATCACTGGCATCAGTGGTATCACTGGCATCAGTGGTATCACTGGCATCAGTGGTATCACTGGCATCAGTGGTATCACTGGCATCAGTGGTATCACTGGCATCAGTGGTATCACTGGCATCAGTGGTATCACTGGCATCAGTGGTATCACTGGCATCAGTGGTATCACTGGCATCAGTGGTATCACTGGCATCAGTGGTATCACTGGCATCAGTGGTATCACTGGCATCAGTGGTATCACTGGCATCAGTGGTATCACTGGCATCAGTGGTATCACTGGCATCAGTGGTATCACTGGCATCAGTGGTATCACTGGCATCAGTGGTATCACTGGCATCAGTGGTATCACTGGCATCAGTGGTATCACTGGCATCAGTGGTATCACTGGCATCAGTGGTATCACTGGCATCAGTGGTATCACTGGCATCAGTGGTATCACTGGCATCAGTGGTATCACTGGCATCAGTGGTATCACTGGCATCAGTGGTATCACTGGCATCAGTGGTATCACTGGCATCAGTGGTATCACTGGCATCAGTGGTATCACTGGCATCAGTGGTATCACTGGCATCAGTGGTATCACTGGCATCAGTGGTATCACTGGCATCAGTGGTATCACTGGCATCAGTGGTATCACTGGCATCAGTGGTATCACTGGCATCAGTGGTATCACTGGCATCAGTGGTATCACTGGCATCAGTGGTATCACTGGCATCAGTGGTATCACTGGCATCAGTGGTATCACTGGCATCAGTGGTATCACTGGCATCAGTGGTATCACTGGCATCAGTGGTATCACTGGCATCAGTGGTATCACTGGCATCAGTGGTATCACTGGCATCAGTGGTATCACTGGCATCAGTGGTATCACTGGCATCAGTGGTATCACTGGCATCAGTGGTATCACTGGCATCAGTGGTATCACTGGCATCAGTGGTATCACTGGCATCAGTGGTATCACTGGCATCAGTGGTATCACTGGCATCAGTGGTATCACTGGCATCAGTGGTATCACTGGCATCAGTGGTATCACTGGCATCAGTGGTATCACTGGCATCAGTGGTATCACTGGCATCAGTGGTATCACTGGCATCAGTGGTATCACTGGCATCAGTGGTATCACTGGCATCAGTGGTATCACTGGCATCAGTGGTATCACTGGCATCAGTGGTATCACTGGCATCAGTGGTATCACTGGCATCAGTGGTATCACTGGCATCAGTGGTATCACTGGCATCAGTGGTATCACTGGCATCAGTGGTATCACTGGCATCAGTGGTATCACTGGCATCAGTGGTATCACTGGCATCAGTGGTATCACTGGCATCAGTGGTATCACTGGCATCAGTGGTATCACTGGCATCAGTGGTATCACTGGCATCAGTGGTATCACTGGCATCAGTGGTATCACTGGCATCAGTGGTATCACTGGCATCAGTGGTATCACTGGCATCAGTGGTATCACTGGCATCAGTGGTATCACTGGCATCAGTGGTATCACTGGCATCAGTGGTATCACTGGCATCAGTGGTATCACTGGCATCAGTGGTATCACTGGCATCAGTGGTATCACTGGCATCAGTGGTATCACTGGCATCAGTGGTATCACTGGCATCAGTGGTATCACTGGCATCAGTGGTATCACTGGCATCAGTGGTATCACTGGCATCAGTGGTATCACTGGCATCAGTGGTATCACTGGCATCAGTGGTATCACTGGCATCAGTGGTATCACTGGCATCAGTGGTATCACTGGCATCAGTGGTATCACTGGCATCAGTGGTATCACTGGCATCAGTGGTATCACTGGTGCGTTGGAGGGTCCTCATGCGCCACCTGCCGCTGCTGCGAAGGGCTGTGCGTCGACATGCACCGGGTAGGGTGTTTAAGGGCTTAGGGACTAGGCGCGTGGGGCTTAGGCTTGGGTGCAGTGGAGTGGAGTGCATGGGAGCAGTGGTATCACTGGTATCACCGGTGCATTGCAGGGCTCTCATGCGCCATCTGCCCCTCCTGCCCTAGCTTGAGCGGCTGCGCATTGACATGCACCGGGTAGGGTGTTTAGGGGCTAAGGGGCGGCCCTTAGGGCTTGGGGGCTTAGGCTTATGGTTCGGGCATGCTCCCCTCCCACCTCCCCTTTCTTCGTTCCCTTGGCACATCACCCCCTCTCATCCCCTCCCCCCATCATCCCCTCCCCCCATCACCCACAATGCAGGTGAGGGCAGTGTCAACAGCGCTCTTGGACCTGTATGAGGAGTTCTCATCGCTCACAGAGGATCAGATCTCTGCTGCTGTCGGCAAACTGCCCATGCGCCTGCCCTAGCTGCCCGTTCACCTGCCCAACTGCCTGTCCGCCTGCCCAACTGCCCATGCGTATGCCCCTAGCTGCCCATGCACCTACCTTATCTGCCCGTGCACCTGCCGTAACTGCCCTTGCGCCTGTTCAGCTGCCCTACACCTGCCCTAACTGCCCGAGCACTGGTGTAACTGCTGATGCACCTGCAACTGCTCCCATAAACCACATCTGCCCATTGGCCCGCCACTGTATACAGCTTGCTACACAAACCGTTTCCTCCAGCCACGCGAAATGTTCTCCTGGCGCAGCACACGAACCCGCCTATTTGCTGCTATGGAGCTGGCATTCTTTCGGAATAGATCTCTTCGCTTTCTGATGTATATAAGTGATACGTATTCAGAGTAAGTGCCTCACTCTTATGGCAAAAAGGCAGTAAGTTGTTGTGCTCTTAATTATCTGAGACGGAGAGATTTCTCAAAATTAATTGAAGTCACTAAGCACTGGTTATACCGTAGGCTAGATAGAGATTCTACCAAAACATGCCGGTCAGATTTCTGCCTAGATACAAGCTTGCAAGATGGATTGGAAGATGAAATGTGGGTGAGAGAAGCAGCGGGCTTGATGCGCCTCAGAGTCGGGTAAAAATCTTCCCCATTCCGACGCCTGAGGCGACTCAAGCTCGCCCTAAACAGCCTCGAACAGTCCTCGCCAACCATCGTTAGCAGAGAAAACCTTTCGCCGGGCCTTTATCATCGCGACGATAACACTGTAACACTGTCGGCTTTTTTATCGCACGGACAGCACGGGCCGCTGATAACCAATAATGTCCACGCGTCCGGCCTTGGAAGCATCGCCGCGATGGTCGCCGCGACAAGCGCCAGCGTCATGCGCGCTGCGCGCAACTTCTTCGACCGGACGAACCTTCTGCGAAGCCTCCTTTTGAGCCGCCTGCCTCTCCTCTTCCTGCTTCAGCGACCGCTCGCGCCGCCAGGTGCGGAAGGTGCGGACGACGCTGCGGGGGCTCGCGGGTTGCGCGGGGAAGCCGACGGGGAGCGCGAACCAGGGGTGCGCAAGCACCTCGTCCACGGACGGGCGCATGTGCGGGAGCGGCGACACCATCCACCGAATCAAATCCTTCGCCACCTCCGAAACCTTTCGCCAGCATGGTAACTCCCAGTCGACCGCGTCGTCGAGGCATCGCGAGCGGTGGAAGGCGGGCCACGTGCCCGACAGCATCGCGTAGAGTGTCACGCCGAGGCTGAAGATGTCCGCTGATTGGTCGTACGCTTTATTAGCCAGCACCTCGGGCGCCTCGTACGGGAAGCTTCCCGCGTACCCCACCACGCGCTGCCACGGTCGCAGCGCGAGCGACAGACCGAAGTCCGCGAGCTTTGCGGAGGGCATGGAGGCGGAAGCGGAGACGGCGGCGGGGGAGGCGGGAGGGGAGGCGGAACGCGATCGCGCGCGGAGCGGGTTGAGCTGGAGCGAGGTGAAGGTGTGCTTGGGCGTGGGGGTGGGACTCGCAGCGCGTGTATCGGCGGCGGATGCGGCGGTGGTTCCGGGAACAAGGAGGATATTTTCGGGCTTGATGTCGCGATGGATGATGCCGTTGTCGTGGCACTGCTTCACGCCACGTGTCACCTCGAGAAACAGCCTTTGGGCTTCCATTTCAGGCAAGAGACCTTTCTTTTGAATCAGGTTCAACAAATCCCCGCCATTGCAATACTCCATAACAACATAAACGGAGTCCGCGTCCTCGTAAATCCCTTGCAGCGAGACCACGTTGCGGTTACCCGAAAGCGTCGCCATGACTTCAATTTCGCGAACGGCGGCTTTGATACCCTTTTCGCCGAGGCCCGTGAGGCTGATGTGCTTGCACGCGAAGAGGCGGCCCGAGTCGCGCTCCTCGCAGCGCCACACTGTGCCGTACTGCCCCTCGCCCAGCATGTCGATAAGCTCGTACCGCGCGGAAAGCTCGCTCGCGGGGAGCACTTCGAGAGTTTCGCGATCCATGACTGCGACTCGGCGACTGTCTGGGCGACTAGTTCGGCGACTGGCGATTGTCTGTACGAGTGTGCGTGCGTGTATGGAGGAGGTCGTAGGCGTGGTGGGCGTGTCGCGGAGGTATGCGCCTTTTTTCAACGTGGAGAGTTGAGAGCGACGAACGGGGTGACTGTGGTGACTCTGGTGGATGGTCGCGCGAGATAAGTCGCGGAGTATGAGCTCGAGCAAGGCTTGAGGTATCTGAAAACGACGGAAGCTATTTTATCCAAACAAGTCGCGTTGGAGTGATGAGAAACGGAAGCACTGCATCTGTCTATTCGTAGTAAGGGTGTTGCAGTTCGGTCGGGGAGGATGGTGGTGGGTGTGGCACTGGGGGTAGATTGGGCGGGTGGGTGGGGGAGGGGAGGACGAGCCAAAGTAGCCAAGCCTGATTGCACGATTTGGAGTGTAGCGGCTGGGTGTGTTTGAAAATAGCGTAGCGCGAGTACCCCTGCCAGGAGAGGCCCTGCGCTCTCGCGCGAGTGAATCAGCGCCTCGGGAAGCAGCCGGGGAAACACCAGACGCAGTCGTTCAAGCAATCTGGTTCAAAAACCGACGACTGGGGAGCGAAACGTCGGTGGCCAGGGGGAACGTTGTTGAGGGGCGGGTGTGTGGAAGGGGAAGGGGGAAGAGGAGGAAACCAGGCGTGGCGCAGCTGTTGAAACGCGTTTCCCGTCTCCGGTGTCTTTTCCTTTCCTTGATCCCTTTTCCTCGTGCTTGGTCAACTCGACGGCGTGCCTTCCGCCAGATGCTCAAATGAAAGTGAACTCGGGGAGAGAGAGGGGGGGGAGGCTAGGCGGGGGGGGGGGAAGGATGGGAAGGATGATGTTTCTTGTCGGTGGTACAGTACAGTATGGTGAAGCCAGTGGAGCCGACTGCTGGTACACGTTCCGCTTGAACCAATCGACGATCACCGAAGCGAGGATGACAGCTCAGGGCGTGTCCAGCGCGTACATTTTGGGAATATTAGTACCTTCACACGTTTCCCGGCAAAAAAAATCTCACTACCAAAAAACGAATATAAGGTGAGTCGAGTCCGAAGGATTGGGCCTTCCAGCGCGCGGACACAACCCTCTGCACACAAATTTCTACAGTTCGTGGAAAACGAGGTAACTGGTTGCCTCGTCTATCATCGCACAGAAATTCACGCACAAGCGAAAATTCCACGCTTGAACGAAAATTACTGTAGCGGGCAGGACGCAATGCTGTACCCTTGTTCGCGCGCACACTGATTCCAGTAACGTGTGTTAGACGATTCGTCGTACGCGCAGCGGGCGTGCCGTCTTGTGAACGGAAGCTGATCGTGTCCAACCTTTTTGTAAAATGAAGTGTTACAATAGGAAATGTGGTAACTGAATGGGTTTACGAACTGTAAATGTACGCGCTGGACACGCCCTCACAGTTGACAATTTCAAGATGTCGCGCACTCAGTTCGCCCGTCAAACCAGCTTTCTGGCGCGTCATGCGCGTTCAGTCAGGCAGGAAGCTTCTTCTAGGTGGGAAACAGGTGAGCAAGATACCACCAAGCTATTGGCTCACTGCGGTGTGCATTTTGACCCGCGTCAACTCTCACCTTGCACTACACACAACTATTTTCGTTGCGCTGACTCGGTCAAAGTAAGCTGTTGATGAGGTGTGGTGCAGCCATGCTATGTTTCGGTCGGTCGGTCGGTGTACGATACGATTCGAAGTTGCTTAAGGTGTCCTGGTTTGGTGGTGTGGCGAGTGGCGAGCGAGGGGAGAGATGTGTGAGTGGCCAATCACCCTACTCAAGAAGGAAACGGGATCACCAAACGCACTCAAAAATGAAACGAACTTCTCAACAGGTTACACAACAGCTGGCAACGGAGGCCCACTTGCTCACGGAGGTCACCGCTCCAGTAGTGGATCGGTGTGAACAAGTTTGGGAATAGGGAAAATATGTCACAAGTAACCAACATGGGACTCGATAACGTGAATGGTAAAAAAGTTACGAGCATACACCTATGTTTTAATCAAAATTTCTCTATGATCCAGAGTTAGTGAAACTTCCAGCGTCACCACCTTGCATCTCACTAATATACTACCATGGTATAGTTATGCATCAATTTCCTTGTTTTCGATAACGTGACCATGAACGCAGGTGGAAATTGAGGTAGAGCCTGCTATGGCCCTGGAGGATCCTTCTTGAGGTCAGATCTAGAAGGGCCACCGACATGGCAGGGACTAAGAGATTCTAACATTGCATGACGGGACTACACGATGGGAGCTTCCCTTGCAGTGCTGTCATTGAAATCGTAGCGATCGTATATGTATGTATACTGTATAGCAGCATCAGTTACAAAAATTGGCCAAGCGCTGGTTGCCTGCATGTAAAAGATACATGCCCTAATAAATAGGGCTCCAATCAGTTATTTGTATGCGTTGGAGGCAGCTCGCTGGAAGCAGGACGCATTCTCTTCGCAGATTCTCGCCGTCTCTCTCATAAAGAATATGTCGCCAGTGTCCCTCCATCCACCATAGCCAGCAGAACTCTAAGCAGACCCCCTTCTGTACATCTCTAATCTCATGTCGTGCGGCCTTGGTCATACCGACATGCACGGAACGAACATCCCTCGTTGCAGCTGCCCGCGAATGTTGCCCAGGAACTTAAACGCCGACACTTGCACGTAATAGTTGGCGGGGTTTAAATCAAGCTGCTTCAAAACGTTCGTAACCGTTTGCCCGTTGCTCGCCTTGGCGGAATCCGCCTGCTTGATCCACCCGACCGACTTGTACGTGATGCCATCGGCGCGCAGTGCGATCGTGGGCGTGCCGGGAATGGTCAGAATAGCATCGCCGGTTGCTCCCGCGGGGCCGTAGTTAAGAGTTTTGAAGAGCGGAAAGTAGAGGTCGTTGGAGGTGAGCTCGAATTTGATGTCCGTGCCCTTGGTGCTCCTGTACGGGAGTGGAGGGAGTAACGGGGTTGTCAGCATAAGGTGCTGTGTGCCATACCACTTGTTGCGTTTCCCACGGCATTTCGTTTTTACGCGAGGCGTAACAAGGCAGGGAAACTCGGATAGAGAGCGGATTATTACAAGGCGAACGAAAAATACTTACGAATGCCACGCGTAAAAAGAGGAGGTACTTACGAGAATACAGTAATCTTTAGTGTACCGTCCGCCATTTGTGTTGTATCGGCCTTCTTCTTGTCGCCTCGCATGGTCGCCTGGATCACGCCTGCGGAATCCAGTGGAGTCAACGGACAGCATTTAGAACAGGCAAACAATAAAAGAACAACGCGACTTGAAACAAACAAACCTAGGCATAGACGAAACGTAGATGACATAAGTACGTAGCAACACATATCAGAGCGGACATTGATACGGGGACTGTGCTTGTTGTGCGGTTCGGATGTGAAGGGCCTTGTGGGATGTCACCAGATTTGGGAAGCATTGCGGAGCATGACTTGTCGCACAACTTACTGACGACGGGGTTGCTGAAGATCGCAGGGCATCGCACGAGCCATGATTGCGACAGAGGGATGGTAGCTGACAGGAGTAATAAAACGGCAAGCGAGCCTGGAGCGTCGACAGTGGTCAAAAAGGGCGGAGGGAAAGGGGGAGGGGAGGGAGAGGGGGAGAAGGGGATCGGAATGGTTTCGTGCGTCAAGGATAGAAATATCGGGGCTCGATGTTGTTTGCAGGATAACTGAAGCCAGGCAACGAGAGACGAGGGGTAGGAAGACGCACCAACACGACGATCCATTGGAACGAATGTTGAGGAGGACGAGGAACGACAACGGATGATCAAGATACTCGATTTCGACAGCTTTTATTTACGCTGCTAATCTGCTTAGGAAACTGGACAAAATTGGTGGACTATGCACAGAGCGATTGAGCAGCTACGACTGATCCTGTCAAAACTTCAGAATTTGAATAGGTTATCAACAAGTGATGAGGTGAGCTTTTTGAGTCTGGTGGTGAGGTGATGCGTGCAGCCATCTTGCTGAGGACAGCCGACAACTCTTTGATCCCGAGTCAATTTCAACGGATCGCGCATTTTGTGTGAGAGAGCACAGAGGCGGGACATCACGAGCCGCGCCCCCACTACTCCACGTAACCCTTCGGAAGGGAAATTGCGAAAGGAAAGAATGTGTGTGCGAAAGTTGACGACTACGCTTTTGGCATGGTGCTCGCCGACAACCCCTGTTCCCAAGCGCAGACAGACACGAATTCAAAGAACTGTCGCACACATGCGATGGGAGTGGAAGCACCAGAAATAAGGAGGAGCACGACGAGATTGATTCAGGACAAACGACAGGCATTTCTGACAACAGCCTGCTTTCCAGAATGTACGGGTGATAACTGAAGTCGAAATTGTACATGAAGAACGAATGCAACATATTGAGTGATATAATATGTGTAAGGAAAGTTCCTTTTTCCTTATCGGGGTTTGCTCCTTTGCGTACAACCCCAACTTTCGGACTCGCACGTTCGGCCGACATCTGTCAGAGGTCCACTGGTGATCCCCGATTGATCATAGGGAAGGGTTACAGGCTCGTTGTCCTGGGGGGTTATGGGCGCACTGACCCGCTACTTAACAAGCACTTTTATCCCAATGGTCTAGTGGTTGGGATTATGACATGGTATCAGAGCGAAGGTCTCGGATTCGAATCCCAGTGTGTGCACTTCGGGCATCCCAGTGCGGGGGGGTGTCAGAGGTCCACTGGTGATCCCCGATTGATCCTAGGGAAGTGTTACAGGCTCGTTGTCCTTGGAGGTTATGGACGCACTGACCCGCTACTTAACAAGCCATTTTATCCCAATGGTCTAGTGGTTGGGATTCTGACAACATCTACGATTCCTGTTAGAATATGGACCTTTGGATAGAATAGGTCTGCTAGATTTTGGTAGCGGAAGTCTTGCAGTAGTGGTAGGAACCTTGTGCATAGTGAATGTATATGACAAGATTGCTTAAAATATAAAATTACACACAATAAATAGATCTGGCTAGCCATTTACTCTAAGTGGTACATTCCCTTATTATAGTTGTAATACAGGCATTGCTACAGTAACCATGACTCTTGCTCTTCTCCTGTTATCAGGTCGCTGCATGTAACTGTACAGACAGTTACGCCTGTTGCCGCAGTTAACCGTTCGGTCCAGGTTGGACAACAGTCGCGACGGTTTGACTTGCGACTGTTGACCTGCGTGCCCTATATGGGCTAACGCGATACTGCTGCTGGTGCTGCTGCTTTGGTAGTAGCAGGGGCGATACTACTGCACCTTCGGGAATGCTTAAGTTAATTCCCGCTTACTCTAACAATTCCGAGGCTGCTTCGCGTCGCCTTCGGTTTCCCCTTGCCCAACCTGCATCGTGTTGTTATAACTGAAGGATCGAAGTGGATAGGATAAGTCTGCTAAGTTGAGGGAAGACAATGAAGTCTTTGTAGTGACCTTGTTTATAAAAGTTGAAAGAGAACAAGATAATTATAAGATAGGAGTACAAATGTATAAATAGCAACCTAGCTAGCCATGTACTATGAGGGGTACATTCCCTTATTAACTGAATTGCATTGCTACAGTAACCACGACTATTTCTCTTCTTGACAGTTGCCATGTTGCATCGCGTAACTACCAAGTGCGGTTACTGGACGGTCAAGGGTCACGACCGTTGACTGATTTCAACTGTTTACCTTCGGGTGACTCTCGATCTTCCGCATGCTCTATATGAGCTATTGCGGTACTAGTACAGACGCGGTGCTTCGTTATGGAGTGGCGTGTTGGTGGAGAGCCTTCAGGGAATGTTATGATAACCTTTCCGTTATTCCAACACATCCAACATCGCGTTCCCGAGGTTCCTACCTAGCTAGGGTAGTTGTTATTCCTGAAGCCCCCTTGAACCCCCCCGCCCCTCCCTTCTCCTCCTCCTCATCGCTACAGCAGCATCTGCAGTGAGTGCCGCGTTGGAGGGGGGGGAGGGGGAGAGAGGGTGTGGGGGAGGCTGGCGGGTACGTCAAGGCAGCCAAATCTCATCCTCTTTTCGCAATTCCTCCTCCTCTTATCTCCTACTCGTGCCCCCTACTCGTCTTTCGTTCTCTCGTTCCGTTCCGTGGCACCTGCTGCTGTTGCTTGCTGCTGGCTCGCCTCCGGAGGTGTTGAGCCGTGCTGTCGTGCTGCTCGTTGCAGCCACAGCGCCTGCTCTCTCGCCCACGTGCCGTCGCCTGCAACCGCCGCTGCTGCATCTGCCATCACTGCAACGGCTGCCTGCTGCAGGCTCGCCCTCGGAGGTGCTAAGCGGTGCTGTCCAGCTGCTCGTTGTGTCAGAATCAAGCAGCAGGAATGGATGAACTATGAAAGAGTTGGGTACAAGTATGAAACCCTAAAAGGGGCTGTACCCCATATTGGCTACCCCACTACAGCCTACACATATATAACATGCATATACTTTGACACACCCCCATAGGCAAAGTGGGGGAGAGCAAGGGGTCACAAGACCAGTCAAGAGAAGCAAAGCAAGCTCAGGGTGGATCACAACGTCACCACACACACTGGGCACAAGCAGAGGGCCACAAGGCCAGTTCACATGCAGAGGTATATATGCAACAACAACAGCACAGTGATCTCTACCTAGCAGAGCAAGCATGCAGGTATATATATAGATCACAGTACAGGCAAAGTCTACAGCAAGTGAGGAAACGTAGGCACAAGGCCTAACAGAGTGCACAAACGCTGATGATCACCAGACGGAAGCGCCTTGGTGAATATATCAGCAGTGTTGGCCCGAGTGGCCACGTGAGCAAGACGAAGCTGACCACGCTGCTGCAACTCTCGAGCCTGGAAGTAACGCAGAGCGATGTGCTTCGTTTTGTGCTCCAGTCTGTGCTCCTGAAACAAGGCAATGGCAGCCTTGTTGTCGACGTACAGCACTGGAGGAGAACGAGGCCTCTCTCCCAAGTCGGTCAGCAGGTAGGTGAGCCAGCGTAACTCCTGTGCAGCCATGGCTGTGGCGTAGATCTCAGCCTCACAACTGGAGCTGAGAACTGAAGACGAGCATGTAGAACGCCAAGAAACCGAACCAGAGCCAAGGCTGAAGGTGTAACCCTGTGACGACCGCTGCGTAGCCTGGTCGTCAACCCAAGAAGCGTCTGAGTGCCCAGTGAGGACAACTGGGCTCCGCCCTCCAAGCACGAGCCCCATGCCCGATGTACTGCACAAGTAGCGTAGTACCCTCTTAGCAGCATCCATGTGCACCTTTCGGTGCCGACCAGGAGCCACGTAGCGAGCCAGAAGGCCAAGAGGGTACGCAAGGTCAGGACGAGTGCAGGTCATCAGGTACATGAGGCAGCCCACTAGCTCTGGGTAAGGACCACTCGGCTCTACGGACTCGTCCGAAGTTGGAGCTGAGAGCGAGTGACCTGTAGCCAGAGGAGTGTGCTGTGGCGAGGACCAGGTGAAGCCGAAGCGCTGAAGGACCTGCTGCACCATGTGTGACTGAGTCAGTGTGATGGTGCGGCGTGCTCTGTCCCGGGTGATACGCAAGCCAAGATAGCTTGTCAGCTCACCCAGGTCTGTGCACGTGTGTCTCTTCTGCAGCTCCGACTTCACCAGGGCGAGAGCCTCAGTGTCAGCAGTGGCAAAGACCAAGTCGTCGACGTACACGAGGATGTAGAACGGCGGCAGCGAAGTGTCGGTGCGGAGAAACAGCGGCGGGTCAGCAGTCGACGGAGCAAACCCAAGAGCCGCAAGTGTCGTACTCAGTGTGTCGTGCCACTCACGTGGCGCCTGGCGGAGACCATAGACCGGCCGCCTGAGGCTCCACTGGGTACCAGGAGGGAACGACCCAGTGAAGCCAGGTGGGCGGCGCAGCCAGATCTCCTCGTGCAGGCTGCCCTGTAAGAAGGCTGTGCTGAAGTCAAGAGAGTGAAGCTCGTAGTCTCGCTGAGCGGCAACGTGCAGCAGCACCCGAAGAGTGGTCATCTTCGGGGTGGGGGAGAAGGTCTGGAAGAAGTCTACTCCCTCTCGCTGACTGAAACCTCGTGCAACGTAACGCGCCTTGAAGGCAGGCGGAGAACCTGGCGGCCGCTTCACCCTGAAAATCCACATGCCACTGACGATGTTCGCCCCAGGTGGGGGAACCTCGTCGACGTAGGTGCCTGTGGACTTCCAGGATGCCATCTCTGCATCCATGGCTGTCTGCCACTGAGAGGAGTACTCACCCGCGATCGCCTCAGCGTAAGAGCGCGGGGTCGGGATGTCTGGAGCATCCGGGTCTCCCTCAGGGGCAAGCAGCATGGACACGAGATGAGGTGCAGCGGCTGCAAGACACTCAAGGTCCTCCTGCCTGTCCTCAAGGACGTCCGTGCCAAGAGCACACTCACCCCCGACGGACGGAGGACAGACAGACTCAGACTCAGCAACAGACTAGCAGCGTAGTCTAGACGACAGGCAGCAGCAAAGTCAACAAGCTCAGCAACTAAGGCAGACGTAGCAGCAGACTCAAACGACGGGTCAGTGACAACAGTGGCTAGTAGACGCGTGACAGTAGGGTGCTCAGCACGAAACCGGTCAGACTCGGGGTCCGCAACGACAAGCAGAGAAGACGCAGGAGGGGACGGCAGAGGAACATGCTGTGAAGGAGAGGAAGGACGACGGACTACGAGGTGGGTGTCGGGGACAGCCGGCTGACGCGGACGAGGAACACGACGCCCGGAACGACTAGAACAGACAGGCGAGACAGGACGCGACGCAGGCTCACGGTGCTCA